GGATTGTTTATAACGAGTTTGCTTCAGATTCATATGATGTATCGTTTTGTCTCCAGAACTTATTAACTACTAAAAATACATATTTTACATTTGATCCCAGCCTAAATAGTCCCAATGAGTCAGCTGGTAATTTTCCTTTTGTTGAAGATGTTCAAAACTACATCAAGGAAAGAGAATGTGGCAATATGAACAAAGAATTAATTGAATATTTCTTGGAGACCATACATAAGAATAAAGCCACAAATGCAACAGTAGCACATATTTGGAATGTAGTTAAGTACATGTACAATATAATTCCACAACTAACACCTTATGGATCGTTTAATGAACGTTTTTCAGAAGAAAATCAAACAAAACTTGTTAAAAATGCTAAAAGCTATCTAGAAGATAAATACCAAGCTTTTCTTGTGAAAGAGACCAGACATTTGAATATTGCTAATGATGGTAATTATATGGCAGCTATTATAAGCTCTTATGTATTTATGAACACAGGCAGACCAGCAACACAACAAAATGATTTTCATGTAGACGAACAGTCAATTTGGCCATTGCTCTACTTCAGCTTAAGATGTGGAAGAATGGATGTTGCTAGTTATTTCATTAAAAAATCTGGTTTAGCATTAGACGATCTACTTAATGTTTTTGTTCACCTGAAAGAAGCTAATTTTACCGAACGTGTAGCTTCCAATATTGGAGTTACGTTAAACAAATATTATAGAACTCTTCCAGCGTATGATAATGCATTCAGAAAAACAATATTCTCATTGTTGGGTATGGTAGAAGCCAACATGGAGAAAAAAGCTGTGTCGAAGACAATTGAAGACAAACTGTGGATGTTATTAGTTGAACATTTTGCGAGCAAGTACATGGAAGATTCAAACGGATTAGATTACTGTTCATTACAAAGATATATTTTGGACAACGGTAAACCTTACATGGAACAGCCTCATGTATACTTTGAGCTATTATTTTTGATTGGACAGTTTGAAAGTGCTATAGACTTCTTATATCGCAGTGTCGAGTTTTCCAATCATGCAGTGCATATAGCCATCGCAATGAATGAAAAACTATTATTAGCCACTCCTGAATATTTACAAGCCCCGTTTTTATCTAATGAGAATGTTGATGTTAAGTTTGTGCGTCTGAATTATACAAGATTGATTTTATTATTTTGCAACGAGTTTAAATCAACACATCCCCATTATGCAACTTATTATTATTATTTCTTAAGAAATGTAAAAAGTCCAACTCTGACTGAAAACCTGTTTCACAAGTGTGTTGCAGATCTAGCAACATCTTTTGATGGAAACATGTGTGATTGGATGTTTGGATGCTTAGAAGATAATATGAAAGAAATTAGTATTTTACACAATATCTTCGATATGGAAACTGTTACAGCTATAATCGATAAAACACTAGAATTAACACTGGAGAAAAATAAACCTGAAGTTGCCTTTAAACTCTATAGCTTGACATCAAACAAGGCTGCATACGGTGTTATGAATAATATACTGAGTTTTGCTATTTACAATTATTATGATGTTTTTGGTCGTTCTATGACTGATGACAAGTGTAATATCGTAAATAAAAACTTTTATGACCGTGTGTACTCATATTTGGAGGAATTAAACAATAAGCAATTCTGTACCCAAGAACCGATTGGTCCCATATCAACATTTCACGTCTTACGCAATATGTATTTATTCTTCTATTATTCTTCTAAACACGATTTTCTTTCAGCTATCGAGAAGGCCAGTGATACAGGTCTAGTACCGTTAACTAGTGAAGATTCTAAACACTGTTTAAATAATTGCATCAATTATGGTGAAATTATACAGAGAAACATAAATAATTTTATAAAGTCATTAGTTAGTGTGTTGTGTAAAGAACATTCTAATATTTTAAAACATCAAAATATCTCAATGGAAGAAGATTCATTGATCGAAGAAGAAGACAGTGAAATTTTTGATCAAAGCAAAGAGGTTGGATGGACAAAATGGAAACTTCAGAAAACCATTAGAGTTATATATTTATTCACTGCAAAATTACCGGTACATATCGCTCTTGATGCGGTTGAATACATTTTGAATAATGCATCAAACATGCAACTCGACTGAGTTTAATATTAACTGTAACTTCATTGAAATAAAAATGACCGTAATTATTTTTGAATATTATAGGGAACAATTTTGTTTTAATTTTGATAACAATATATATTAATTTAAAATATTGTAAAGAGCATTTTGTCAATATTCTTTTTTTTTATGGTATAAAAGTTTATGGCTATCAAGAACAGACCAATTTTGAGCTGTTTGATTTGTTATGACTTTAATGACCCTGTAATAATCTCAATGAACACCCTTTTTCTCCCACAAACAAAATGTATATTATTTAAAATTTTAAAGTGTTAGAACATTGTACGATGTACAACAATATTAATTGTCAACAGATATAGATTTTAAACGATTTCACAACTTCACAAACAACAGCATTATTACATGTATACTTTTTGAAATTCCCTAAGGTTATATTGTAATGTGTTACAGACTTTATTGCTAAATGTCTTAATATCTTCAGTGTTTAAATATTAGCGAGACGGGAATGGGCCTGATAGCCTAGTTGGCAGAATTTTGATTGGGCACCCGTAGTTTTATGCCATGCCCGGTTGAGAGATGGCGGCCTCTATCCAGACAAATGTCTGCCCGAGGAAAAATGACGCCCATAATCGAAGTTAGAAGCGGCGATGGTGCAAGTTGCAACTGACGCCGTAGTATACTTGGCCACTTCGTCCCCCATAGTCTAATGAATATAGTGTATTGAACAAAGTAAAAACTATTAATCGAAAGTGAAAATTCTAAAATATAAATTTGAAGTTGTTAAGCATATACAAATAAACAGTTTAAAATTATAATAATCAGTAAAAAGTAAAAACAAAACATCTCCTTAATGGGCTATAGCTGTGCTTGAGAATGATGTATCTAATCATAGTAAAAACTAATAATAATTATACTACATAATGAAATTTAAATAAACTAAAATAATACTAAATAATATCATATTATAGTGAGACCTCTGTAATGAACACTGATTAGTGATTACCATAGAGTAATTAAAATTTGTACAATATCTTCTGACAAATATTTAGACTATGCAATTTAAGAGCAGCCCCTATTATTATTTTTTTAAAGTCATTAGTGATTAGTCATTACATTATGTAGTTTACATCTTTTAGATCAGTAGAAAATGTATTGTTAAATTTTTTTCCAATTGAAGGAGTAATTAATTTTTAGTCTGTTCATTAAACAGCTTTGAACATATAGATAACAGCTGTGGGTAATATTGAGTGAATCCACAAAAATAAAAACATTTGGCTAACAGTACACTGACTGTGCCCATAAGGTCCTTAGACACAGATCAAAGTCCTTGAGTGGACTTCCAGTCATTTAAACTGCCACCTCCCCTTGAATTGGACGACATTGTCATTTGTATTTCAATCCAACAGAACTTTTGCCTCTGCCAGCCAAGTACTTACTTTCAGACTTCAGGGATTATAATATTATATTGGTGTTCATACGGTCGTTGAAATCCAGCCCTTACAAATCATTGATTAAATCTTATCCCCAGCATCTAATTACAGTGAAGGTACAGCCACCAACTGGGATAAACAAGTTTGATGCTGTGTGCTGTGTGATACCAAATCATTGATGGAAAATACAATTTTATTTCTATCACGACTATAAGATACACCTCAAATAGATGGCCACCGAAATGGTTATTACTATTGTCCTATAACAAGTCATGAGAGCTTGAAGAAATAATAATAATTTTATAAATATTAAATATAATTGACCATAGAGATAATATAGACGAATCTCTCAATATTCTTACCCCATTACCATCAACAAATTCCGCAACATACAATTATTAAGTTATCTACCGTAAAAAAAAATGTAGAAATGAACCACAGGGGGCAGGGGGATAGGCATAGAGATATATTATGAGATGAAGATACATTCATAATATTTTACCTATTTAGAAAGTTTTTAATCGCTGTCATTATAAAGGCTAAATATGCAGATCATCTATATTAAGACTATGAATAGAACAATAACAATAAATTAATTTTTTAAACAATATTTTAATACTGAAATGTAGCACTGTATCAGATTTAGAACTATTTTAAGCTTTACATTCCAAGGCAATAAATAATTTTTAAAAAAAACTATTTTAACATGTTTATGGTAAACAAATATAGCCATTATTGAAATTTACAACATCACCCACGTTTCTATATTTTTTATTATAATTTAGTTTCATTTTGCATAAGAAATTCATTAAATCCTTTTTAAACTATATTTTTTTAATTAATACAATTTTAACATAAAATTACTTAATGAGCTAACTTAAACAGGAAAACACTGTTTTTATATAAATTTGTAGGTATAAAAAATTAAATATACATAAGCTACATAAAAAAAAAATTAACATTAAAAGGTTGTATATAATGAAGATTAATTACTAATTAATATAAAATCTAAAATTAGAACAAAAGTTGTAATATTTGTCATACTATCAGTTTTTACAGATGGCGAACGACGGAATAAACAGATCATTTGCAATTTGCTTGGAACTGTTAGTATGAGGAATGAGGCATGAGTCAAATATAAACTTCTAAATAAGAAGGTTTAAGTATTTTGCACTATGAAATAATTAAATCAATTTTAGTTGTTGTACACTAATGCTATTTGATGTTTTTAAGTTAGTGTTAAAAATGATATAAGCTTAGATTTAACCGGACAGTTACTCCCATGAGGTATATAAATTAATATTTCTGAAGTCAAAAATATCAACTTTAAACGTGACATTATACGTGACTATAGTATATCATATTGTGATATTTTAATTTATATCAATATACCTGTAACAGTTGCATCAGCTAAAAGATCGTTTTCTATAAACTGACACTTATCAAAAATTACTATCAAACATTGGAAAAAATTAAATATAAGTAAAATAATAGAACATTTTGACAACTTTAAGATTAGAAAGGTCAAGTTGTGTTAACATGTATTAATTTGTTCTTTATGAATTAAAGAATCTACCTATGATATAAATGTTATAATTAATTATTTTTAAAAGATAGACAGACAGACATAATATAGTAATGATTAGTAAATTATGTGAATTATTTATAAACTACTCTATTCGTGTTACCTCTTGGCTCTTAGTTCTTACCTATGTTTAGTTACACATTATGTAAATAGTTGAAGTATTTTTATTATATATATTTAACGGGCAAAGTAGGAAATCAGACGATTTCGAGGGCACAGTTGGAATAAGTCAACATTGTCCAGGGACATTAGATTTGGGCACTGTAAATATTTAATATATTTAAAATCAAATAAAACATTTTACTGAGTTTTTAAATCTATTATTCAGTATGATACTGTCTACTGAAGAATTAATATCATTATCTTTAAGTGGTTTGACATAAATAAGATAAATATTATTTATTATTAAATTATAGTACATTAGTATAAATGTGCACAGCATGCTACAGTATTAAATTTACTTTTTCTTGAATCCAAGCAAAGTTCACTTTGCTTAAGCTACTTTATACAATGCCCAGCCAATGTATAAACAATTTAAGTATTAAAATGATTATTTTGACATTGCTCAGGCATAGTTATGCAATTTTCTACTTTGGCCGAACATAAATAAGTATAAAATCTATACTATAAAAGTTAAATGTATAATGACAATAATATATTGTAGAACACCTAGTAATTTTTGTTACTAAGGCAATTAGGGTGTATTTGCGCCACTGGTTGAAAGTATACTCTTATTGTATACTCACAAACCTCTATTCATTTTCAATAGCCCTTCAATGTTTCCCTTGAGAAGAAGTAATTCACTTTTAGTCTGTTCATCAAATGATACGTCCATAGTAGCACCAGCTCTAGGTAATATTGAAAGAATCTAAAAAAAAAAAAAATTAAGTATACAATTTCTATGACAAGATATATATTGATAGTTTTTAAGTTGTAATTACATTTCCATTGGCTAATGGTACACTAATTGTGGCCATATCATCTCTAGAAACAGATGAAACCATGAGCGGACTTCCAGTCATTGAAAGTGCAACCTCTCCTTGGTTTGGACGCCGCATCATTGATATTGGTTCATGCATATTTACTTTGGGTGTAACTGTTGCGGAAGCAGGTACAGGTGGTCGATTCATTGGAGTCTGAAATAATATTTATTTTTATTAATAAGATTAAAATTAGTATATTATTTTATAAAAAAAATACAAAGCATTCTATCTAAATATGCATCTCAAAAATTTAAAACTGCAGCATCAATTAATATAAAAAAAAGGGTTAATGAGTTAAATGCTTTTAATACTAAATAATATGTTCCAAATAAATATGGTTACCTACTTAAAATTTAGTAATTATGAAACATATTTAATAATTTTTTATTTTTTATATGCTGAGATAATGAAAAGTAATAAAACTATACTAATAAGTAATATTTGATTGTTTTAAATTCTGAGCCTAGACCAACTGTTTAGTTTGAGATTTAAGAGGATTTTGTACCCATTAGTGTTCTATCAAACTAACACAAAACATACTAAAGTATACATACAGCAATTTAAATGTTGTGTTGTTAGCTTTACTATTATAGAGAATTGACCTTACATGAAACTTAAAAGGACAACACGAGCATTTGTAGCCCGTCTTACAAGTGCGTAAAATTACCCTCAGTTTTTTTTTTAGGAAAATTATTGTGAATCAACCTAACATGAAATTTGATAGTAAGAACTTCATCTGTGTATATTTGAGATTTTTTTTACGATATTTCAGTTTTTAAGTGAATTATGAGCATTTTTAGTTAACACTAAATTATACTGAAAACTTGCAAAAAAAAATTGAACTGTTTGCTTCATAATTATATGATCACAAAAAAGTTTTTTTTTTCTATCACAGTCAATACAGAAATTAAGTCTTATATTTTGTTACCTAAATTATATTGCTTTTGACATACTCCCCTTTACTTGTGTACTGTTTAATTAATAATTTATTTAGTTAATAACAGTTAATAATGTTTATAAGTCAAGAAAAAAGTATTAAAAATATACATTGTCTATGTTTTACATGACTGGTAAAAGTATTATATATTCTGTATTCAAGACTTGATATAAATATCAAGTTTCTTAAAATGAATTATTTGTACATTATATTTACTTTAAATCTAGATTCAATTGTTTCTGTTGATAGTGGCTTATCGACATGACGTGTTGCACTACGGTGTTTCGTTACAGTGGCAGAACCATTGGTCTTAGAGGTTAAACTAGACACTGAAAAAAATAAAAATGTATAATTAGATTTTATAGTTGCAGCTAAAAATGCCTGAAACTTATCCGTAAGTGATAAAGATGTTAAAACTCCGTTTTGTTACCAAAAATCAGACCATTTTTATTCAGCATAATTTTTCATTCTGTACCCCATATTGAATAAAATTCAAATTTAAGTGCACTTAATGACAAAGTACACTAGTCTCCAACAGTAGAGCAGTTTCCTACTTTTTCCCCCTTTTAAAATGTTTAACTGTTAGGTACCAATAATAATATGACAAAATCAAATTTAATTTACATATATCATTTATAAATATTCAAATCTATTGGATTTCTAGAAAAAAATCTATCAATTTTTTGTTAATGTTTCATAAATCTTAAATCAGTGTAAAATAGGTAGTTATGGTTAGAGCCTAAGAATAATCAAGATAGATAGATGTAAAAACTATTTAGCATTCATGTCAATTGGAAACAAATTCTGAAAGTCTAATTTCAAAATAAGAACTTACTACTTTTTTGTCTGGTCGTCTTATTTACTGTAGCTTTGGTAACTGGCCTTGAAGGTCGACCAGGGTTTTTTTTACTCCCACTGTTGGATTTTGTTGGATTCTGTTTGAAAATCTGTAAAAATTATTAGGTACTTCTGTATAATACTATTGATAGTACATAAAGGTAATATTATTTGATTAAATTTCAATAAGTAATAGGTAAAAAATGGGTAATAGGTAAAATGTATTATGTTGTTCTATAACAAAATATACTTAATGGATAATGTTATGAGACTCACTATGTCATAAAGATTACAATGTAATAAGTCGCCTAAATTCATTTTTGTCATTAAAAATGAATTTTCGATTAAATTTCTTTGGTTATCAAATATGTCAGAAAAATAATCTTCAATATTTTGTTCTGAAAAACCAAAAAACAAACATAAATTAAACACACATGTTGGATAATAGGCACAATTGTATTCATATTACTTTCACAATCAAATTCGCTCAAAATTTCTTTCATATTTTTCGATTGGTTGGCCATTGTTGCATTAACCGCAGTCATGTTCATGTCAGCAGATGAACGCTTGACGGTTCTTCTCTTGGTACGTGGCATTCTTGATCGAAGTCTGACAAAATAAACAAATAGAAAGAAACGCTGTTACTCACGTTTCACAGCAAGTCGACGAGGTACAATTTTAAAACAACAGAAATTTGTCGTCACTTAATGATTTCTGAACTCTTGAAACAATCAAAAAAGTGTTGCGTAGTGAATCGACAAGTGTACTATCGTCTATCGCAGAACAATAAAATGGTACCACTAAAATTAATTAGTAAATTGTTTAGTTACGACTTCGAATTGTTCAAAACATCAAACTTCGCTAGCGTTTGTGACACGATTAAAGATATACTTTGATATCTTTAATATATATCTTTAATCGTGGTTTGTGAGTAGTGAGTCGGCACCCAGCAATCGCATTTTGAATTTTCATTATCAGAATATTCAGATCAACGGTGAAAGTCCGTCGCGCCATCTGCCGCCAAAACGCCATCTCGCCAACGACCGTTATAAAATCATAGATAATTATTAATTATTATATAAAATAATATAAAGGATCGCACTTTTTTTTTTAAATTTATATATTTAAGGCTTCAAAGTTCAAGTACATAATTTATTGGTCTACAATGGTTTACAAAATTAGGTTACATTTTTTTTTATGTTTGATTGCGCTTGTGTGAAATATTGTTGATCTATTGTTTTAAATGTTCGATGCAAGATCCGCTATCTTGATGTCTGATGAAGTCTAATATCCTTTTTTCTTCTCCGTAGTTGAATGCTTCATTGAGTGAGATTGTGTTTAAGTTAATCACACATTTATGTCGCAAATTTTGCGATGTATACCTAGTCTATACATCTAAATTTAAAATAGGTAAATATATTATATTTTGCAAAAGTATAATTGGAAAAAAACCCACACTAGGAAAAAAACCCAATGGAACTCTAGAGATTGACGGGTATTTAATTAAATATAAATAATTTATAAGAAATGAGAATTATTTATTTTATAAATTATATAATACCTATTAGAAATATATATAATATATTTATTTATTTTTCTTTGGATTGAAGCTTCAACAACTTAAGTCATTAGTCTGGTACTATATGGGAGGGGGCTATTGCCTATTTGGCTGAAACACGTTTGCATGTGTGGCAAGGATTTGTTGTTAAAAACCCGGATGGTCACCCATCCTAGTGCTAGAAACGACGGGCGGTACGTACGAGAGCCTGCCGCAAATTTACCATGCGGCCGCTCCTTACCAAGTGAATATAATTCATTATTATGTTAAAGTTTACAATAATAATAATTAATAATTTTTACTAGATAGGTACCTAATCTATCAATCTATCTTCTATAACTATATAAATGTGAAATGAATATCTTTGTACCGAGTAAACTCAGGAACTACTTATCAGATCTTCTTGATTTTTTTTTTTAACGAAAGAGTACGTTACGGTGAAGATTTCTATCGCAATAGCATTTGTCTAAGTCAATAAACAATTTATTTATCTATTGATTAAAATAAACGTATAAATTGTATACCTACCTATACTTTTTTAGTAAAATATAGTCGTCTGAAAATAAATAACAATCAAACTCGACCACCTGCACAGATGCTTCCAGGCAGGTCGGTATCGACGTCGAAATAATTAACAATTATTATAATTATTTAGTTTAGCCCAAAAAAAAAAAAAACAATTAGTTTTAACTGAATATCCAAGCGAATGTAACACATTATTTATTGGTAAAAAACTATTTTTCTTTTTGCAACTTCGAGTCGCTACCTTCTATAGTGGCAGCGATCAGACGATGGAGATGATGACCAAATCAGAAAATCGTCGAATATCCATAATGTCATAGGTAAGTATACCTACTTAAAAACAAAATCGTGTTACAAACATCATACATATTATATACAATTTATATAGTAGATCAGGTTTAAGCATTCATCAAATCGAATTTTCGCACATTGCCTACTAAGATGGCTAAGTCGCAATTATAGCTGCTCATCAGCGTATGATATATATAGGTACTGTATCCACAGTCAAAATAAAAAATATTATTCATGAGTATGCGCCTTTAGGTCGGGGTCCGATAATAATAATATAATAAAATTTAATATCTTACCTGATAATATACTGCTCGCATTTACAGCAAGCGAGTTTCATATAGATTTGGCATTTTTAACGGGCAACGAAGTGCACGAGATCAGCTAGTATATTATAAAAGCGAAAGTAACTCCGTCTGTATTTCAAATTCCAATACTAATTGCATCTTCACTATTAAAAATATTATTAAATTTATTTTGGATGCTGGCTCTATAATTTAATATCTATGTTCTTTAATTAATTTAAAAATACTTTTTTATTTATAATTTTTGAGCTTTATTTAGTGCTATAATAAAATTAAAAAAACTGTCTGTCTGTTAGGCTATAACGCCTGAACTGACTTTGATGAAACGACGAGACGACTGACCGGGAGCGGCTACTATGGTCGCCTAGTGCGCGATGTTGTGCGCTATACGACGATGTGCAAGTGCTGTAGAGAGTAAACTACTCTACTCTACGTCAACGTCCAACGGTGACCAAAAAACACTGGACTAGCGGATAGAGCTATTGGTGCTTTGGAATCAGCTGCGACCGGAGGGAATTACCACTGGGCGAAAAATAGAGAGAATCTTCGGACCCCACCGCAGTCCTGATTCTCCCGGTGATTCTGCCGAGGTAGTCGCTCACCGCTGTGGCCTGAAACATAATAAGTTTCCGTGGGTCCGACGATGCTGACGTCATTGTTCCGAGCTTTTTTTCCTAGCTCAACCGTCGTGCTTTGCAGTCCCCGTCGCCGCCGTCCTGAGTTGTCTTCGTGCACGCAGTCATCGGTCGCAAATACCATCGGGGCGGAATCGTCACTCCTCGCTCTACCGACGCTGCCGAGTGCTCGCTGACCGCCAGGCGGTCTCGGTGTCGGTCACCGCGTGCACACGACACCATCGACTGCGATCTCGTTTTTCTGCGTGTTACCTAGATAACAAAGGGTGACATACCGCTATACCATCGTACTCTTTCACATAGTCGCCGCCGTCTTGTCTGGCGTTCATCGGTCGTGGGAGGAGTGTTGACCGCTTTTCCCCTCGGCAACAACGACATAGAAATTAGAAGGCGCCTGGTCCTTTTGAATTTTGACTCCTCTACACGCAATGGCGACGAGTCACCTAGTCAATCCATGACGTGAACCTTCTACATTGATTGATGCCGGTACAATAGCTACAATGGTACTCTATTCCCACGGCCGGCTTCGATTCGAGGTCCGACTCTGTTTTTACTGCGTCAACCATTTCAACCAATAATTCGCTCATAAGGTTTCCGGTGTTATCGATGTTATTTTTCTTCATTGGTTCTTCTTCGCCGTATTGTTTTTCTATTCTTTTCACCAAATGGTTCACAACGTCCATTATTATGTTTACATTAAAGCGTTCGCAGTTTATTTCTTCCATTATGATGACGTGAGTATATAACTGTTAGGATTCGGAAATATGTATGAACACAATTATCACATTAACGTCCTCAGCTGCCGCGGAAAAAAAATCAACATTTCCCAGACGACGGATACTGAGTTGCGTGTTACTAACCAGTGAGTACGTTCATAAGGTTCTAATCTGCTAGCATGGAAGATCCTCTGCATGTGTCTTGTTACGGTGTGTCACAGTCCACAGATATAACTAAATATGGCTAATTGGTTAAAAAATAATTTCCTAAAAGTTGTGGGCTATAGCCTTCAAAAAATCACCAGTAACTACGTATTTGTTTTTTTAATCGCAAAATAAAAAAAAAATGATAATAAAACTAGAATTGTTGATAATTTTAAATTAATTAATACCGCAATTAAATATATATAAATTTAAATTTGCCGCGCCTTTTGCACATATTATACTAAATCTAGTCAAACAGTCGTAGTCGCCGGTAGGTAATAGCATTGATTTTATAATATATTTATTATATTATAAAATCAATGGTAATAGGTATGTACTACAACTAGGTAGGCGAGTTAAAATAATTATAAACAATTAAATTTTCAAAGTATTGAGTATATTTCAATTAAATTATATTATGTAATACTCGATACATTGACTAAAAATGTATCGAGGTACAAGATATTCGATACTTCATAATTCATATAATTGTATCAAGATATAAGAGATACAACTATACAAGGTACAATTGTATCTAAGATAGTGCCCAACCTTGTACAGTTGTACCTGTGTGGCTGTGTTTTATATAGATTTGGTTTTATATAATTGTGTAATTATTTCTAGGTACGAATTCATACGATGTTTCGACAAAAAACTGAAGCCAACTTGTGCTATCTACAACAATCACATTCAAATCATGTAGGTACCTGAGTTCTGTATAGTATTCAAATTCCTATAATGTATTACTTATTGGTAATGACCAATGATACATCTGAAAAAACTTAACATATACCTACATTAAAAAAAAAATTATTCATCTTACAAAGTTGCAGTCAGGTGTGGATTTATTATCTCAGATTTCGTAATTGTTGACTGTTCAATTTTATAGTAATGTTAAATAGTGATAGAATTACTAATTCATAATATTAAAAAATGTATTGCCAATTTGCATGGACAATTTATTCATTTGATGGTCGATAAAATCTAATGGACTAATCACCAACCACTTAATCATGTTTAAGGGACCATTAGATCACCATTAATTTTATTTCATTTTATTTGTTTAATGTTTAGTGATAGTTCATGCAACCCAGCTTATATGTTTACATTTTTTTTTCTCTATGAGGCATATAATATAATGAAAAATAATACAAGTGTACACCATAGGTACACAACTAAAGCACAAGGATGTTTAACTAGGTAAATTAAATTGAAACAAACTATGTGTTGAGCACGAGACTATGAATAATATTGATCGGTTACTATTTCATATTGATTTTTAATGTAACGTTGAGTCGTTAATATAATTTTCAAAATAATTTAATTAATATTATAATAGGTTTTTTTTCAATTTTAGTCAGCAAGATTCATTAATTGACATACGCATATCTATCCAGGCCAATTAGGAGATTATTCTGAAAAAACAATCCCTACCAACATAATTGTTTATTTGAGGTAATCTAGAAGAGTTCATATTGTACTGAATCACTATAGTGTTTCACTACTATTAAAAAAGTTATTTTATCAATACTACCTATATTAATTTAGTCTATATATTATGGACTTAAGCCCTGGGAATCAATGCAAATTTATAATTATTTTTATTTAACCCAAAATAATTTTTTTTTGCATTGTTACTTAGTTAAAACTAGATATCTAAATAATACATTATATTTTACAATACTCTACTCGTCATTCTAGAGGACATAATTAATATAAATTTTTATGTCGAATTAATATTTAATACCTTATGTTAACATCCATCTAATTTGATGTACCTACTTAAATGCAGTATTGTATTCATTGCTATCTGTTTAACTATTCTGCTACTATCGTTTACTTTTTTCCTATGTTTCAATTTCATCATGATGGTTTAACCATTTAAAAAAAACAATATGTAATATTATTTATAACCTAAAGTGAAGTGAATTTTTAAATACTTTATTATACACTCTTACCTAGGTTCTTAGTTTCATATGTTTAACCATGTATCTTGTAGCATGTGTATACTATTATCTATAATTTTATTGAGTTGAATTCCAAGGCGTTATCATAATTAATAAATAAATAATACTTTATTGGTGATGGTTATTTTACACTTATATTAACTAGGTATATGCTAATATTTATAATTTTCGTTTGATTTTTGTTTTTTGATTAGAGTCTAAAAAGGAGAGTTTCCGCATTAACTCAAATAACAGTGACTAACATGGACTACTCAATAAAGATGTATTATTCGCAAACAAACTTGTTCAATTGAACAATTTACTATAAAGTATATTATTCAGAACTGAATCTGTATACAATTGAATGTCGTTTGGCACTGATTCACAACATGGAGGTCATGTTGTTGTTTTATTTTACTTATTCGAAAAAATGTAACAGTAATAACTAATAACATCATAATTCAGAATGTGACATGAAAAATTATGTTATGTAAATAAAATACCACCAAATTTCAGTCAAGCCAAACTCATAGACGTTGTTTTGAATATTACAATATATTGATGTATAAAAATTATTAGTAACTAAAACGTTAATTGATTGTACAATCATAAACAATAAATAATTAAAGTATTTATAATTGATTTATAAAATACGTTAAAGATTTTATAAATATAATTTATATTTATATTAAATGTTTATTTGTAATTAATTGTTATGAATTATGATGATATAATAACATTTAAAAAAATAATATAAGATGTATTCAGATAATTTATAGTTGTAGTTTAGTAGATATTTTGTTGAATATAATTAAATAGTTATATAACCAATGTATGGTAACGGTTAACTCTTACAAAAATTATTTTATTGATAATTAGATTATTTAAAAAATGTAATAATAAATAATTCACCCATGCTTTTAAATTGATATCTCCATTTCCCACATAAGTATAACATGCTAACACACCCACATAAATGTTCACTGTGTTATGTTTTCATTTTGATTAATTTCAATTCAAGGTTGGTAATTTAAATACTTATAAATTATACTTCATAAGTTTTTTTTAATTGATAACAATAAATTTTTTATATAGATCTTTAATGATTAATAGTAAATTATTCGTGTTAAATTCCACTTAGGTGAGGACATACACTTAAATAAAACACAATATACCTTCACTCACATATTTGTAATAGGTAAAATAAATGTTTAAAATACAAAATATTGTTAAATCAGACTTAGTTTATTGTTGTTGTCCTAGAACATAACCTCTACCCCAATCATGGCGACGAAAGTTTAATCCACCTTCCCCTTGTTGGTTTCCTGCTGCTGGGGCTGCAGTTGGTGCTGCTCTAGTTGGAGGTTGACCAAAACCGTGAACTGTCCTTTGATTAGGAAAAAATTTGTAACTAAAAGATCAATAAGCATGATATTAAAAAAAAAATTCTAGTTGCTTTCAAAAATGTGTATTGTTAATTATTAAGAATATAATAATAACAACTAACAATATCTGAGGTGTTTGTATAAGCTGTGGTCCACCCATTTCTTGTGGGTATTTGAACATGAGGAAAAAATATATATGACCCACAATAATTCCAACTAATTCCTGAAGTCCTCTGAAAAATAAAATTTAAAAATATTATTTATTATTATAATAACTAAATAAAAGTAATGCATTAGATTAGATTATACTGTTCATCAATTAATTAATTAAATTATATTTACCCTCCAGAAATAATCAAGTTGAACCCAAACAATACCCATGGTAAGTACATAGCTTTGAAGCGAGTTCCAAACCAGAAACTTACAATTACATCTTTATTTAGTTGGCACCATACATATAATATACTTAAGACCATAGGATCCATAAGAACCTAGAAAACAATCGTTTTGTTAAAATTAAATTTATTAAGATAATGTCAGTGCAATATTTGTTTTCTCACTCAGACCTACACTCAATATTGATAAAAGGCTTTCACCTAAAATTGCTTTTATGACTTTTGAGTAATTTTAAGGAAATCACCAATTACAAAATTATGGATGATAACAATTTTGAGGGTATGACAACTGGCTTTATATTTTATTATTATTCAACTTTGTATTTTACATTCAAAATAAAAAGTGTAAGTTTAAATAGTGCTTAAATTGTTTTCAAACAATATTTAGACAAATCGATATGTCATACCCTCAAAAATATTATTCTCTATCATTTTTGTAAAGGGGAATTTTACTCTAAGATAACTCAAAAGCATAAAAAAAATAATCTGCAAACATTTGTTTTATCTATGTTGAGCAAATGCCAAAGACAGAAAACAAACAGTGTGCTGACATCCTCTTAATTTCTAGAATATAATGCAAAATAAATGATTCACCGGTATATTTGCCAAGAGTCCAATAATGACACAACATATCCAATTAAATATAAGTAAGAAAAAATAATCTGCCGGTCTTCCACTAAACGAATCTATACAACATAAAATTACGTAATTAGAATAACTAAAATTGGTCAATATCATTTTCATAGAAATATAATATTATATAACTGACCTGTTTCCAATCTTATTGAATAACTATATAGAAAATAACAATTGACTAAGAAATGAAATCCATTTCCAGGTGATAATGGGTACATCAACAAAGCAGTGGCTGCTCTCCAAATCTATTTAGCAAAAGAGTAATAAATATTAGTACAAGACAAGATGTAAGGAACTATGTACCTAGATCTTATCTACACTGTCGTACAGAAACTATGAATTACAAATGAGTGTTTAGGAACTCACCTCAAATTTTTTGATGAATGGTTCATAAAATAACATAAAGTTAAAAGGATTCACAACACCAAACCGTCCAGCCAAAGTCAAGATAGCAGTCAGGGCAAGCCATCGTTTGGTGAAATAAGGTATGGATGTAAACCAATCCGGAAGTTCAGCCATCTGTTAACAAATAAAACGACTACATCAAATGGTTTATCGCGATCGTAACATATCGTTGATGGTGTACACAAAAAAACATTTCATCAACCGAACATACACGGAAACGATGATGTCAATTCATATTATTTCTTACCACGTCGCAGTAAATTTATCTTTTGGAGAAATTTGTACACTATACAGTGTATGGCATTATATTCAAAAGATTGAATGTTCGATCGGATTTTCAGGAAAAATTATAATTGATTGATGGAACAAGGAACAACAATACTTTAATACCTACTATTTTAAATAATAATATTTAATAATGATTATTGAACTATAAAGAAAATTATCCATTGATAAGAAAAATGATAACGCAAAAAGAACACGTATGTATAAGTTGTTGCTCGTGTAGTTGAGTATTGCAACTAGCAAGTAGTCCTAAATACGATATAGTTGCAAAAGTTCTCCCAATATAATTGTGTTCTAATGTAAAACTCTCCCAATTCTTCTGGGACTTATAAAATAAATATTCAGCACGATAATTGGGATTTAGAAGGCCGGAACCGAACGGCTATCAGAGGCGTACCGAAATGGTTTTTATGGGCGGCCTAAAGTTAGTAGTTTGGCCAAAACCACGGATATAGATACTATGGTTGTATCTATATCCGTGGCCAAAACTCTAAACATTTTTCCGAAACAACTTTTTTAGTTACCTTGTGATAGATGTTTATCATTAGGCTAAATGTTTTTTATTATATTAGTAAATGACATATTCAATTAGTAATACTTACTATTAAAAAAAAAAACCATAATTTATAAAAAAAAAAGTGGCAAGTGGGAAAACCTATCCATAGAAGAGAGATTAAACAGATCTACAGCATGTTTAAAAGTTAAGACCATAAACATTGTATACAAAAAATGATCAAGAAAATCTGTCAGCCTATATTAATATTACTAAGTATATAATATTATTATTTAATGCCATTGATAATACTATTAGACTTTACATAAGTAGGTTGAATTAATATTTTACAGGCAAAATCGCATTTAAAAACGTCAATGTGTGTATAAAAGTTTATAAATTTAATAATAATATGCTTTAACCCTTCGAGGGGCATTAACGCATAAATACGTTTTTAAAATATACCTTCAATAAGAACATTGACGTAAATACTATACGTTTTTCCCGTGAATTCCTTTTAGTTTCTTTGTTTGTGTTTCATTTGATTAAATTACCGTAAAATACCTTATATAAAATATGTGAAATTAAAAAGACGTATTTATACTGTGTATTGTGTGTATTTACACTGTGCCAAAAAATATGAATTACTATATAAATATATTTGTAAAAAAGTGTATGGGAATACCATATTTCTATTAACTGTATATAAAAATAGTACAATACGTATGTGACCATTGATAACCATTTAAATAATAAATAAATATTCTTTTTTTATCATGCTGACAAAAAATGCAAGCGTGAGCTACCCTTAAACCTTTTCGCTATCTATAGCCTATAGGGGTTGAAAAAAATAAATAAACAACCACTAACTACTGAAATTTAAAAAATCTATAAATATAATTTTTATTGAAAACAGTAGGTACTATAATTGTAGAGCCTATAAACTTGAAAACTACTGATAAACCATCAACATAGACTTTTATTTGTACAATCCAAGTTCGGCCTTGAAAAATATAAAATATAGCGTTATATAGGTTTCTTGGTTTCAGTGTACCTCAGTTCATAGGCAGTTTGGAGTCGATGTACCCCTCTTTGTGAACTAATTCGACCAAGATAAAAATTTGCCTGTTGCAGATTGTGTGTAGCACTTACCACTTGGTATAAATCGAAAGTGGTTCAAACTACTCTCTAAACCTTCGTGAGATCTCTTAGAATAATTTGAAATTTTCACAAGTCGGTCAAGTAGTTTTTGTTTATATACCATATACCTAAGCAGCAAACATTTATCTATTACATTATATAACAATTCTCATATTAGTTTTAAGATATAATTTCTTTATTGTGATGATTTGATGCATATTTCAACAGTTATACATCATCTTCCGGAGTAATTAATGGCAACCATTTATGAAGAAAAAAATGTTTGATTTCCATTATTTTTATGAGTTATAAAATTTTAGGGCATTTTTTTCTAATTAGATTTTTCTTTCCGTAAAAACTTCACCCTGCCAATTACGAACCTTTTTTTAAAAGTCATTTTGAAGTAATTACCAACGAACAGCCTTTAATTTTAATTTTAACTTATAAAATATATTTTAATATTGGTATGTAATTAACTAATAAGTAATGACCATTGGTAATCAGCAATCAATGGCAAAAAAAAAAGTTGCTGTGCACTATTTCTACTAATCATATATCAATATGTCATAATAATATTATGTAGGTATTAGGTAACCAATGGTAACCATAAATAAATAAACAAAAAATATTATTCCTTTTTCGTGACCCAAAAACTAAATTAATGTGTGAGAGCCCTTCCGTGTCCTTCAACGCCTTATATAACCTTAGGGGTTGAAAAAAATACGCTATACAACCACCTCCAACAGTGGCGGATCCAGTACTTGATTTTTTTTTGGACGGGGGAGGGGAAAGTACAAAATAACATAGGTATACACAATATCTCACAAATTTATATTTTATATAGTTTAAATTTTACAAAAAATTCTAAACGTCCCTGTTTTTTATTGGCAAAGCATTGGCTAACATGTGTGTTTAGTTTTTCTTTGAAAGAAACCGATTTTTAGTCCATTCTGAATAATCGTTTTTATATCATTTTATCAGAGCGCACGAAACGTCGAACTTGACTGTCGAAAATGTACAATAATTTTTAAGTCGTCCGACGTATATCTAGATACTAAAAATTGTCATTTGTCGTGCGTCGAGTTATATACTATTACGCAATTACTTTTATCGTATTTACTGAACGGTTAGATTGTTTAGATCAATGCCGATATTCCAGTCAATAGATACTCAATAATTACCAGAACGTCCAGAATTATGATAAAGAAATATAATAATAAATAAGTATAATACTAATGTGCTATTAGACTGGCGAGAAATTTTCAGAATTGTAATTTCACAATAAACACCCGTATAGAAATTGAACTCCAAATATATAGCAGTATAAACATCTACGACGACCACTATAGAATACTATAGTTTACTGCATTATAGCAGGAAAAAACACAGTGACCTCCAAGTCAAGGGGAATCCATTGAAATAACTTTTATTGAAAACTATTCAGTAATTTTTAAATTTTAAGTCTACAGCAAGTTATCTACAGACAGAAAAACAAACATATCCACTTATATACCTGTATAATGTATAGACCTGTAGTTCAAAATTGGATATTCAGACATAAATAACGATAAATTACATTTTGTATTATCATTATTTTAATATTATCACTAGTAGACAAAATATAATATGTTGTTATTTAAAAAATATGAAAATATTTAGACTAATATTAAGCCACGAATCGCGATATTATTTACAGTACGTCGATGGTCGATATTGACCCTATTTAAATTTGAATATTATACACATGAGATATACCGTGGCCAGACCAAAATTGAATCATATTAGTATATTATGACATAGCGGGGGTTTTCAACCTGTGCGTCGTGGCTCCCAGGGGCATCCGGAGTGTAAAATAAAAATTTGTTTATTCTTTTATTATCATTATTTGTATGGGAACCGTTTAAATTGTTTTCAAAATCAGAAGAGGTATGGTTCTATAAACTAAAAAGGTTGAAAGCCCCAGGTGTATAGTGAATTACTTTGATATATCCGTAATACGGCTGTACACCACGGCGAACGCTTTTTACGGCGATTTTATAACGTTTTTAACCATTTTTTTTTATTAATCATAATTAGTCATTAGGTGTTCGACAGGCAGAACATTTGTACTTATAGACTATAGTACACGTTTATAACAATTAGAATATATACGACGAATCGCAGATCGTCAGAGTGGACATTTGTATGTATTATAATTTATAATAAATAAATGATTACATAAATATACCATACCAATGTAATATAATCATAAAATGTTATATTATGGTTCGTGACCTGTTGCCACGCTATCTTGTAATTTGGAGTCCGTCGCACATTTTTCCTGTTTACAATCTAGTTGAAAAACATAAATAATAGTTTTCATTTGTCCAACATCTGACGAAATAAATACCAATTGTCGAAAAGACTTCAAAATAAAATAAAACAAACGAATTCCAAAAAAAAATACTTTATTCATAATAAAAATAAAATCGATCGATTAAACTTGATTTGATTATTTGAAATGTTATTACAAAATGTAGCCAAATTAATTCCCGGACCAGCACCAAATAAACATTCCAAAATAATATAACTGTTATATACATGTGTAGATATAAAATAATAGTATATTGTAAAGGAATGGACAGGACGAGAAATGTCATAGGTAGCAGGAGAAGACGATGAAAAATTAGTATTCATCATAATGTAAATGCAAAAGTAAACTTAAGGATAAAAATCGTTAGGGTTTAGAATGTGTATAGAGGTAATAATTCATTATTTTTAACAGAATAAGAATAATCCGGGAACGTGTCGAATGGCGTACGCTCCCGAGCCCAGTCTCTTGTGTGCGCTTCGACGCTGTCGCGCTCATTTGCGCGGCTGATGGATGGTCGGTCTCGTGGACGTGTGCTGTCTCATCTCGTGGCTGGGCGTCGGCTTGTCGTGGGTCTTCTGGACAGCCTGGGTCGGGTAGTCGTTGTGAGCGTGCACCGGCACCACGGTCTGCTTGGGCGGGCTGCGGCGAGCATGGAAAAAAATAACGAAAAAGAACAAGAGGTTAGTGCGAACGGAGGAAAAAAATCGGCGACGGACGTCGCGCCGAAAGCATAGGATAAACAGCAAGTGGCGACCTTCACCCGTTGCGAAATATCGAATTTATTAACGTTTCGGTACGTTTATCATTTGAAAAAAATCTGAAACGCGTAAAACACGCTTACTGTCCCGAAGACAATAACAAAACACGCCATAATATTATAATTTTAAAAGACGTAAATAGATAATATATTGTACTGTCTTAGATTAAAATGTTGTCTCCGCGACACGCAGACCCCTACTCCCGTTGGAAAATTATATTCATAAAAATCACTACTTTATTTACCTAGTGGAGACTTTCAAAACCGAATTGGCCTCGTCCGAAGCGGCGGCAGATATCTTGTCCGAGGAAGGGTTCTTGTGTTGCACGATGCGCCTGCTTCCGGCTCTGACTGTGTAGAAAACAGAAATGAAAATGCGTATTACTGAACAAAGCGCCAGACACGTGGACGCGTTCTGTAATAATAATTACCTGCTTGGGCATGTCCGCCTTTGAGTTTATTTTCGTCTTCCATGGTGACAGCGAACAAGAAGAGACGATGAATTCAGCAGTAAAAATTACGGGTAATTGTTGTTGTCAGTGACTGTACAACGTGGACAAATTTGAAAGTGATGTCGTGTATGACTGCGAAGAACAGGAAATGGAACGCAGTTGCCTTTTGACTGTTGAGTGCCGACTGTCGAACGGTTGAATGTCGATGTTAATGGCAGCAGTCAGCAGCGGCGCAATAACAACAACAACAAACAACTTGACAACAATAATAGTACAATATATTGGGTTTTTAGGTATACGTGATCGAGGTCGCGTTGGTGTTGTTGTCTGTAGGCTACAGTTTGGTCGTGTTGTGTTTACTTTTCACTTTACGGGCATGCCTGCGACCGCAGCAGCTGCAGCAGCTGCAAGCCTGCTGCTGCGGCCGTCATGTCAGCTGATTATACCGCCGGGCCGGGGATGAACCGTCGTTACGGAGAAATGTCGCCGTCTCGCTCGCCCGAGACAGTAGATATTTGAGGAACAAATAATTTCCAATTATTTGAGTAATCCGTTACATATCGGTTCAATATTGAGCCATTGAGCGTTCAAGAATTTACACATTGTGCTTGTGGTATACCTACCAGCGAAACGTACTAAGCAGTATCTATACCAGTTATGCGCTGGACTAAATACATTATTACATTTATCATGTATGTCTTTAGTTCAGTGCTCACATCGGAATCTGACTTCGATACGAATCGGTACGTAATTACTCCAAATCGATACGTATCGAATTTTTCTCCTTAAAAATCTTGATTATAATTTAAGTAACATTGGTAAGTTGTAAGTTATAGAGAAAAATTAAAATGCGATCGTGAAAACTTGAAAGTTCCGCATGGAAGCTGATCCTCGAGACAATGAAAAAATAATATATCCCTACCATTAGGGCCAACCGACCATGAACCGTTGTTCAGACTTCAGTATTGCCTTGTTTAAATTTTATACTTTCATAAATACGGTGTTTTAAATAATAAAAATTACTCATATTGTACCCTTCGAGGTCTGAATTAATACGGAACGCATATTTTTTTTACAATAATAACTTATATTTATAACTAGGACATGCATTTAAAATTTAAATTCAAATTGCATTTTTCTCTGTTAGCTTTAAATAATTCATACCAAGCACACTATTCGTTCATGCATCGGAGAATTTAAAAATAACATTTTTTAATAACATTTTCTTCTTTGTATTTTAAATGGACTTTTAAATTTTTTTAGCATTTTTAGTGTATTTTTATTTTAGATGGTTTTTTTTTTTAAATAGTTAATACTTTATATATTATATTTATGGGTAAAATTGAATCAAAGTGTCAAAAAAAATAGTTAAAAATATTACGGCGGCCTATCTCGTAGCTATTTGGAAGATTAGGGACTAGTTTTAAATTATTATATGTTCAATGTTGTAATATATTGTAGAAATTAATCAATTTAATATGTATGTAATATAGGTGGGATTGTGGGATTATATTTTGGGAACTAATTATTATAAGAACTAAGATAAGGCAAACGAAGCTAAAGCGACACTAATATTTTGTTAGGTACATATATAACATATAAGACACTGGCTCGCTTAGGTATATGCAGTCTCGCCGTCGTCTTAAAACTCGGGGAGAACGTTGGTGTGACAATTATATACATGTGAGCGACGACTGTCGCACGGGCATTTTTGTTTGATTTTAAAGCCAATACAAATAAAGTGTATCCGACCTATGTCACTTACATTAACTGTGTTGAATATTATTTAAAGTCTTCAGGGATAGCAAGTGCCATGTGTTAATAATAGGGACCCCCTTAGTACTTAATGATGGAATTATCCATATAGCTAAACGGCCTAAACGGAAACTCATCAATTTCATGTTTTTATAGTATTATGACAAATGATTATATAAATATAAAGTATTAACTGATGAAACTGATTAACATTGACAAAAAAAAAATATCTATTTTTCTACTTTCAAACGACAGTATAAGCATAAAATAGTTCTATAAACATAAAAATTGCAAAATATATGCCACCAAAACTTGCACGGGGGTCAGCTAGTATCAATAAGGCAATAACTAAAACGAAATATTTATAAAATTAACTATATTTGTTATTATATTGATTATATAATCAATGGTGTTACTTTTGTAATAAAATGATGGTTAATGGCTTTAAATTGCCTACTCAAAGCGCCGTCTATCTTACAGAAACAATTAATAAGTATTAAACTTACAAATCATATTATAATAAGATGGTAAAAAATATCAGGAAATACTATTTATTTTAAATCATTAAATATATTTATTTTACTTGTTACTTATAAGACACTAATCTGTGTGTGTAAATTAAATGTCTTTTAATTATTTTTAACCATTATTTATATTTATATTTTAAAAGATAGTATTTAATTATTATTACTAGTTGATCTAGCACAACGTTGGTTTTTGCTCGTGACAAATTAATTATCCGCGATTAATCTCTTCTTAAGCTATGTTAAATACTGAAGTATAAGTAACACAGATTAAAGAACAATCTGTACTTTTTTTGTTGTTTTGATAAAATTTAAAATTCAGACGTATGATGTTGGAATTATATCTAATCATAATTATTTATTTATTTACCTGCGGGTTAGAATATAACAACTACAGAACTCCAGATTTTGAATTGAAACACTTCCAGGTGTAGATACTGAGCACTGGCGGAAATAAGGGGGAGGTACGCAAGGGAAACTTAGTACTTGGTAGTAAGCATTTATAATTTTTAGAAAATATTAAGAGGTAGGTATAGTTTGTTTTTTACTCTAAATATGATTGAACAAACAAATTTTGACCATCATACATACCTACTGTTTATATTTTACACAATAAACTAGAAATCAATGTTGATTTTTTTAAATATCGTGTTATTCTCAGTATAATTTTTTTTCAATTAGTATTTATTAGGTTTTTTGTTTATAATCTATGATGTTTTATTTATTTTGTATTTGTATACTAAGTATAAGAAAAAAACATTTTTTTATGGAATAATAGTCATTTAAAAAAGATCTAAAGTTTTTACAAGCACTTTTAAATTCAGTTCCTTACAATACAAATTTTGAAAAAAAAAGAAAAAATGAAAATTGATGTGTACAACTATTAATATAGGTACTGTTATTACTTAAAAAATAATTTGAATATGTATTGTAAATCTGAAGTCTCATCTCAGCTGACCTCGGTTAAATTTGTAATTGATTATAACTAATTAGTCAAGTACATATTAGGTACCTACCAATATGCAAAAATTTAAACTTTTTATTATATTTTTAGACTTGTTCGTCATTTACATATCAAAAATATTTATTTTATTATTTTATTTTTTATTATGTAGGTGTTTTCAATTTGAAAACATGAACACTTAATTTTCCAAAGGATGTATCTTTATAACCAATAACAGTATTATATATTATCCTGTACGCATCATAATATTTAAGATTTCTACAATTGTTTTCTTATAATGTCGATACCTATGTTTTAGTTTAGTCATAAAATAAAATTTCATCATAATATTCGAGCTGAACTGAAAAATTATTTGGTTTTATAATTTTCTTCAATATAACTGACAACATTAATCTAACCCCTGAAAATCCGTTGTTGACTTTAGTTATATATGTAGCAACGCCCCACCTCCTATTCGGATTTATGATAAAATAAAACAATGGGCATAAATGCATAATTGTATTGTTGTATAATAAAACCATGACATGGTATGTTTTAATTAATAGACATTTGTAAACGCATAATTCATTGTAATTCACTAGGTATACCATTATCTCCTGTAGTCCTGTAGAATTCACTCTAGTGTGTCACTATCATTATGTTATATCACGTGTGTACCATACGTTTCACGTTAATTATCTGATATATGATAATTTGATTTCCTACTTACCTAATTACCCATTGGAAAAAGTACCAACGTCTTACACCTGTTTAGGTCACCGACTCCGGTTCAACACTCTAAGTGATATTTTGTGTTAAGTAATTTTTGTAGAAACACTATAATAATAGCATACTATGGTCTAGTATCTATAGGTATACCAATACCACCAATTATAATGTTCTCGAGTTGTATTTAATAGTTACGATATTGTTTTGTTTAATATTATATTAATTCATTAATAGATAATTGTTTATACGTCCTAATTATTTTAGACGGGCTGTGTTGATGAACAACATGTAACAAAAACACGCTACTATTGTTACAAAATTATGTAATCACTAATCATATTAAAAAAAAACATATTTTACGAGTTATAAATTATAATATAGGTATACTATCATATTTGATGAAAGGAATATTGCATAGGTACATTTAGTTTTTTAGAATTTATTATTCAATTATTGAACAAAAAAACTGTTCTTAATATTCATTGATATATGTTTTTATCTGTGAATGGTACCCGTACCTATTAAAAAAGATCTTAAAGAGGTAAAGATAATTTTGTAGAAAGATAGGTGTATCTAGATAAATAGAGAAATTTCAATTTGTGTTTGGAATCTGGTTATTCATTGTATTAACTAGAACGAATAAACTGAATTATTCATTACCTTTTCATCCATTATTGATCAATATTCAATATGTCCATGATCGCCGAATGAACAAATAATAATTGAAGGTAGGTATACGAATAATTGACGATTTATTTTTTTAAAAAATGGATAATCTCTAGGGTAAGGGGACTTTCATACTACTATCGACAACCGTAATTCAATTCAAATTTCAAATTCATTACTGCCTTGGCTGTAAGCACGGTCCGTAGAATAAACCATGACTACTGCATAAAAAACCATAGATCTATGTAAAAAACCCATTTAACCAAAGACAAAAGGACAATCTGACACAATGTTCAAAAAACTAATTTTTCTAAAAGGTTACCAAGATTTTATCCGTAAAAATAACATTTAATAGACATTTATTAAATTATTAATTTATAAACATTTAATTTCATAACCATAAATCCATAACCAATTATACACATGTGACATGTATAACTAAAATTAAGATGTTATTTTTATGTCATTCTTCATTTTGATGTATTTATAGGATAGTATAGTGTTATAGACAGTTTAGTGTATTGTGTAGAGAAGTTATTTGTGTTTAATAGTTATTAGTTAATACAATTTAATTGGAAGTATAGAAGCATCGTGTATCTTTGATACTATTTTTTGAGTATCTTGCCCAACCCTTGAACCCTGGTACTAACTACTCTTAAGTATTAAAATATCATTATGTCTATGAGAAAATCGAATCAAATTACCAAAGCACTTGAACAATTATAGACTATCGAACATAAGATTCCTAAACCAATACGGGATAATTTTTCGCTGCGCACGCGGCAGTACTGTGAAGGTGAACTGGTGTCTGGTACTCTGGTGGAAATAACTATAATAAAAACTAAAAAGAACTTCGCATTTAATCACATACTAGTATAGTAGTATGCTGCATGCACTTGTATATTATAGTAATAACGTCATGTAACTAATAGCTATTATAATAATTAAATAATATCATTAAAAAATAAAAGTATTTACAATTTTGCAAGCGCATATTGCACAATACAATTTTAATGAAATTGCTCGTACAGCCACTTATCACGCATATACTCACTTTTCTCGCTGCTTGTCTAGTGATAATATTTTTCAAAAACTTTTACCAATCGAGAATCCCTGGGTCCTACTCTTATCGATCGGTTTGTTTATTTTTATTTTATTTTTTATATTTCCGACTCCGAATTTTGCCGACTCTGGCAGGGCGCAGGCGTACTGCTTTACAAAGTTTGTTAACAATTTCATTTTTACGGATAAAACGTAGAGCCAATGATAATCCACTACGATATTTCTGTTTAGCTGATGGTGATAGCTACTCTCGGTGTCACGGTCAACTGCTTGGAAAAAATTTCCCGGTTTGTGATTTTGTATTTGGTATTTTTGATAATGTTCATCCGCCCGATTATGTTGTGCTGACACGATTTTAGTAGGTTCTATAACTTTCGGCCTTTCGGGTCCTCCAAACGGCTTCAACCCCAAACCATCGTGTATGTTTACCGCCCCTCACATCATCAACTTCAAGTCTAAAAACTTGTTACTTATCTATGCGTTGCCATTCATAGGTATAATACAAAGCGCTTCTTATGTCTGCAGATCTTGAAGGGATTGTAAACAACTAATAATTCAATAGCAAACAATTCAAATAACCAGAAATGGAGGATTGTTCACACTTCACTGTACATCACTTATCGTCTATCGAAAAATGTGCTGAATTTTTACAACATGTATGTATTCTCTTATCTATCTTTTCTTAACCAGGTCAACATTCTCACTTGTACCGATGTAACGTTCTGTTTTAGCACACCGGTACCTTGACTTGCTATGTATGCAAATCAAAAAAGCCCGAAGTATGGTTTTGCATAAGTCCAGACTGTTTGCAGGCGTTCTGTTATGACGGTGGATGCGATCACAGCTATCTTCATTTCAAAGTACTATTCATTTTTTTAGTTAAATTAAACAAGTTGAAGAAGTGTATAACCTAGGCATTGAATTAAATCATAGGAAAACAAAACCCACTGTTTACATCTCAGTCTTCCTTCTATGCGTTTGTGCTGTTATTTATGTGTCAAGGAGTGTAACATAGAAAATAATACGAGATCGTTGAACGGAGTACGCCGTGGTTCCAATTGTTCGATAGAATTTTGCCGTAATACTGCAGCAGCAAATAACAGTGGTGAATCTGCTGATGAAGATAGTGATGATGAATACAGACTGACCAAAGATCATAAACCCACGGGTAACTTATTCAAACTGTTATTTGTGTATAAAATTAGATACCTAATTTAATTACTATACATTATAACTTTGATGTTACTGTCTTAGGTCTTACTGGTCTTCAAAACATTGGCAACACATGTTATATGAATGCTGCACTCCAAGCGTTATCCAATACACCACCTTTAACAGATTACTTTTTAACTTGTTTTCCTGAATACCCATACAACGAAACAGACAAACCTTTAAGTTTATCCAAAGCTTATCACCGTCTCATTCAAGAAATATGGCATACCAAACGTCCTGGCTATGTCACTCCTACGTCAATTTTATACACAATGCGAAATGTAAGTCAAAGAATATTTTTATTATTTTTGTATGATTAAATATAATTACCATTGATGGTTGTAGGCATTCCCAATGTTCCGAGGATTTCATCAACATGACACACAAGAGTTCTTAAGATGCTTTATGGATCAGTTACACGAAGAACTGAAAGAGCCTGAACTTGAAGTTGTCCCTTCTAGGAGGCATTCATATAAAGGTATTTTTGACTATTACTCTGAAACTAAGTAATAATAACATATCAAAAGTATTATGTTTCATAGTTATATTAATTTTATTAAGGCACTTCAAGGAAACAGAGTGTAGAACAAAATCATTTGGCTATCCCGGAAGAAGATAAAGATGAATGCTCTGACAATGATGATGAACTCAAGTCTTTGACAAATGCTGATAGTAGTTCTGAGGGTATAGATGAATATGAAACTTGTGATTCTGGCGTAAGTGAACGAAGTTCATTGTCAGAAGAGACATCTGAGCGAATAAACTTAACCAAAAAACTAGAACGTCATCTTTTCGCTAAAATGAACCATGGAAATAAGATTTCATTCTGCCAAAAGAATAAAAAATATCATGTCAAATACAACAGTATAATTTCTGAAATATTTGATGGAAAGCTTTTAAGTTCTGTTCAATGTTTAACTTGCAACCGGGTAAGATTTTTTATCCATATTTTTACATCTCAGTATTATCAATAATTACACATTAATTGTTTGCTTATTTAGAGGAAAGTCATTTATAAATACAATTTTAAAAACATCTACATACTAGATACTTCATTTAACTGAGCTCTATAAATAAATAAGTATATTAACTCATAAAATGGCCATGGGGTTCTTAATGCATTTTATCATGTCATTGTGTTAAAGATTAATAATTTATTGTTAATGGTGTTTACTGCATAAAATATCCTAAATTCCTTATAGCATTAATATAACTAAAATAAAATTATCCTTGGTATGTAATTGCAACTCATTAATGCTAATGATGTATTAATGCTCCATATAATGTACACAAATTTAGAAAAAGTATATTTGTTTAAGACATTTAATTTTGTTTAAATTGTTTCAAAAGCCATTTATTGTGTAAAAATATTAAATTTAAAAAGCAAGAATTTATATTTTCTATGTTCATTTACAAGAAACTAAATGAGAGATTTAATTTGACCATGAAAGAATGATAATATTTGACTAAATATTATGTTGTAATTACTACACACCATGTGTATATGTAAATGTACATTATTTTTCTTAATATTCATTTTTGTCAAAAGATTAAAAACTAAAAGTTGACTATTCTATTTAAAGGGTTTACTTCTTAATTACTGAATATACTTTTAAAATATTCTGAATATTTTGATTATGGATTGAAAAATTATGCATTGTAGCTCTATAGTCCTTTAATTCGATATATAATAATTTTGAATTTGTTATATTAATATTTAATCTACATTTTGTAGTTAAAAAATGTAATAATTATCTCTTGTATTTAGGTATCTTCAAGGGTTGAAGCCTTCCAAGATTTATCACTTCCCATACCTACTCGTGATCATGTTACTGTCTTACATCAAAGTTCAACCAATTTATGTTCAGTACATAAACTGTCCGACATTTACACAAATCAACAAGTAATTCAGATTCATTTTTTAAATTAGAAGTGTCATACACTGTATTGACTTCAGATCCTGACTAAATCAAACAATTTATTGGATTAACAAGGTTTTTTTTTTAAGTTGTCTGATTTTTATTGTAGTCTTATCAATATAGTGTATAGAGCGAGGTTGGGCAAACTACAGCCTGATAGCCAAATTTGGTCTGCAACTCCACACTATGGGAAACATGATTTTATGTTGTGAAATAAATAAAAATGTTATGCCATTTTTTGACCATTAAATGTTTATGGCCATCTGTTAAAAAAGTTTGCACATCTCATGGATAGTGTTTATTCAATTTTATAAAATATTAAGTAATTTTTGTATGAATTATTCATATTAATTATTCTATGAGTTCTACTCAAAATCTTTTTTTTTAGATTTAATTAACTAATCATTTAATTAATCATTATTTTGAAAGTCACAACATTTCATTATCTCAATATTTTATCATGGTGTAATTTTGTTACTGTTATTAATTTATTTTTACTCTTTAAGAATTGGATATTTTGGTTTTGGGACATGATGTACAGATGGTTTTGGGGCCCAACAGTTGGTTTACATGACTGTCTAGCAGCATTCTTCAGTGCTGATGAACTTAAAGGTGATAACATGTATAGGTATGAAAAAATATCTTAAACTGTAAATTCTTTTGTTCTAATCTAATTATTAATTCATTTAGCTGTGAAAAATGCAAAAAGCTGCGTAACGGTATAAAGTTTTCTAAACTTCTCGAATTGCCTGAAGTTTTGTGCATACACCTAAAGAGATTCAGACACGAATTAATGTTTTCATCTAAAATAACTTCATATGTAACATTCCCTATTGATGGTGTAGACTTACGGCCATATGTTCATAAAGGTATGTTTTAATCTATATTATAGGCTAATGTTGAGTTCTGTTTTAATTTATGATGAATACATTTCTTTTGATAGATTGTACATCTCAAGTGACAACTTACAAACTAGTATCAGTTATTTGCCATCATGGTACAATTGGTAGTGGTGGTCATTACACATGCTATTCGTTAAACCCAATAAATGAACAATGGTATGAATTTGACGATCAGTGTGTCACTTTAGTATCAGCTGAAATTGTTCGAAATTCCGAAGCTTATGTTCTTTTTTACAAGTAAGTACACAATTGTATATTTATTTAATAAATAGTTCTGGAAACCAGGACCCCTACAAAGAAGAGAAGGGCTATTGGACCTAGATTACAGGGACCTATTGAAATTAATTTATAATTTTTGAAATGTTGATAGGAATACTTATTTTGTATTAAATAATATTTTATGATATTAGTATATATTGAGTAATAATATTTATATTAATAATGATAGTTTAGTAATATTGTTATTTTAAGCTGTTTGTTAAATATTGATTATACCTTGAAATTGTGTACCTATGGGACCACCCGTATTGCTTATAATGGGGTGTATTTTCTCAGAAATTTTGTTTAGGACCCTAAAAGCATTTAGTACAGGGGTCCAAAATTTGATGTGCGTGGCTTGCTTGTAACAGTGATGGAAACATTTTGTATTTTTTGTATAACAACATGTTCTTTATAATAATAATTGTAATCAATGTTCATGTTTTATTTTTTCAGAAAAAATAGTCCAGTAACCAATAGAATTAGGACACAAATGCGGCAAGTTCAAGTGAACAAGAATCAGCCTAATTGTTTCCCGGAAGCATGCTTTATTTCAACTAAATGGTTATCCAAGTTTAATACATTTGCTGAACCAGGCCCTATAGATAATTATGACTTCATGTGCCACCACAATAGAGTGAAGCCAACTCATGAACCTCAAATCAATCATTTTGCTACCATGGTTTCTGGGCAAATTTGGGATTACTTACACGGCAAGTAAGTAAAATGTCAATATAAAAACAGAAATCATGTACTAATAACACTATAATTAGATTTGATGGTGGACCAAAATGCACCAACAATCAGCTTCAAAGATGTGAAGTCTGTTATGCCGATTATATTGAGATGATGCTTAGAAATAGAGCTGAAACAGAAACAAAAAACTTTGCTCGACTTAGAGAGGAAGCAAGTCTGCATGCAATATATAAGGTTCGGACTTAAGGAAATATAAACAATAAAAAAGCTTTTTGAATGAAAAAAAAAATGCATTATATATACAAAAAAAGCAATTAAAAATTACTTAAAAATATGATAGGTTTTCACCAATGTTGAAAAAAAAATGCACAACCATATAATTTGATAAACTGTCTTTGGTAAAGCATTGATGGTTTGGACCTATAATATTTTTATACCTAGGAAACGTACACCGAAGTTGTTGTTGGGAGGGGGATATTTTCATACATAATTATACTTTTTTCATTACTTCTTTCAGTGATTAACCCTTCTTTAGTCATCACTGTGTATTTTAATATCCCAAACATTAAAAAAATGTTTTTAATAAAGAACAAGGTGACTAACAAAGGGTTAAGAAATATTAATGAAAACCCATGAAAGTACTTTCTAGTCATTACAAATATAAACTACAATGTGTTGTTTTCGCAAGGTCTTATGGCTCATTTTTATCCATTAGCATTGATTTACAAATGAAACACATTTTAATAAAATAATCATTTTTCTATCTTTATCTAAAATGAAAAAGCCATTTGCCTTCAAATCCGGATTCCAGTAATGTATTTTATTTTAAAATCCACCACTTTTATGGTTATTGTAGTGTATTCAAATAATACAATACTTAATTTTGTGCTTATTAATTGTGTCTTACAAATGTTTAATATACCAAATTTGTGGTTGGAATAACTAATTTGGTATTATTAGATTTATTATTAGAGTGTGAGTTGACATCACTTATTATCAAACTTAAAGGTAAAAACATGAGTGTTTTCTTTACGATATTTTAAATTTTATGTGTTTCAAGGAGTTTAAAAAAACAATATTTTACATACTCATAACTGGCTTACAAATTTAAATAACGCAAAAAAAAAAACAAACTTACCAACACAGATAATGTCCTAACCTAAGAGTTTGACAGTTAGTGATACTCAAGTAAATATTTTTTTATTATATTATCTTGCTAACAACACAAAATTGGTTCCGCTGAACACAAATTTGATGTGTTACATGTTTGTAAGACAAAGTAACACATCATGCCATTTTGTCGTCACTTTTAGTATTGCACAATCTTAATTATTTTATAATTTATATTATAATTATTAATTTGTATTTAGGCTTTAATTAACTATACTCAATGATTTAGTAAACTTGTACATTTTGGCATTAGTTATGAATGTGATGCAGTATCCATGTAGACTAATATTCATTTTTATGATTAGGATGGAATACCTGATTTTGCTATATCAATGAGTTGGTTTAAATGCTGGGAATCTTTCTTGAATGGTGTTGTCAGTGAACCACCAGGACCAATAGACAATTCAAAGTTGATTGATAAATCGGATGGCAAAACTTTAGGTATGATCATTTATTATTTATTTTACATAGTGATATATAAGTCATATTTGTTTCACTGTTTATTTAGAAACTGACTATGTATCTGTATTTGAAACCCAATGGACTTATTTGTGGAGGATATACAGTGGTGGTCCTGTTGTTGAAGTTAGTGAGCTCCAAGCACAGTAAGTTAAACATGTTTTTAATAATTAAAATGTGGTAAATATTTTTTTTTCACGTTTTTTCTTATAGGGGTGGGAACACCGATGTCTTTTTAAATCAAACAAACACTCATCTTGACGAATTGTGTGAAGTTGATGAACTTGTTCAAGAAGAGCCCGATAAAAGTAATTACCAATTTTATTTTAGACTTTATGTTATTATAAACTTTGTAATATTTTCGTATCTCTATATTTATCCCATGTTTTCATCTTGAAAAAAAAACTCAGTCATTGGAGGACTATATTTTTAAATTAAATAATCTTAAATTGTGCATGTAATTGGTTCTGAGCAGGATAAAAATCTTTAGTACAATGATTTTTTTTAAAGAAATGCTCCAAACATTTTACCATTTAGCCTTTGTACATTATAAAGACGTAAATTATTCTTTATATTCTTTAGACTGTTAAGTGTACAATGTCACTCTTGTAATGTGATCGTAATATCCATTACTATATTTGACAAATTTCAAAAAAACTTGCTCATAGCTTATATTTTTTAATTAGAAAATTATTTAAAATAAGTGTATATATTTTGTATAAATATCAAAGATCACCAATTATTATTTTTAAGAGAAATAAATTATATTGAATATAATTATATTCATAATGAACTGAGATTTTTCAATACTGTAAATACTAAATGCAAAATGTAAACTTGCATTTAAATTTAAAGTATTAATATATGACAGGTCTCTGATAAGATAAGCAAAGGTTTTTTATCCTTTCTGTACCTCCATTTAACTTATTTTCATTCATTTTGGTGAATGTTAATTGTTTACAAACATGTCTTTTATATAGTTTGTTACACTTATTATATTTAATGTTTATCTAATAACCGTTATTTTTTATCACTTGTATGCGTTGAAGATATATATATCTTTATAATATTGGACAAAAACATATAAATTACTTTTTCATTCAAAGTTTTAATTGATATAAGTATAATTTATAACATAATATAACAGTAAAAAATTAACTTTCAATCTTTTTTCAACGATTCTATTGTTATTACAATTAGAATTATGGCTAATGAATTACTTCCAGAAATACTTGTAAAGAAGGTATGTCACATAAAATGATAAAAATATAATTTAAAATTGGCATATCATATTATGATAAATATTATTTGCGTATGAAAACTTATTATAATAATGAAAAAAAAAAATGTTGAATACAAACAAAAACTAAATTAAATTAAATTTAGGTTGTTCAATAATTTTGTTAGATTGTACAAAAATAAATATTTTAACTAATTGGTTTTATATGTTGTTTATCATATTTTTAGTAACTTTCGAGACTGAAAAATTAGAAATAGTCGGTAAAGATTCAGGGGACCAACCGACAACTCTTATTAAAAATGAACAACAACAACAACAACAACAACAAGAACAGTGTTCAGCAGTGAAGAAAATAAATTAAAACATAATTACGTTGTTTTTTTATTAATAATTTCACATACAATAATAACTTATTTAATACATAAATAAAAATGTGCGTTTTGTATAGTTTTGGGTAATTGTATAGTTATATTAATAGGCTGGTATAGTTGTAAGGTACCTACTCTAAAAAATGTACGTCGTTAGTTTATTTATTATTATTTATTTGCATTTAGACAAAAACTTGTTACCTAAGATGATGTTATTATTTTGTTTTTCTACCATTTTTCTCTTCTTATGGTGATTTTATTTTGTTTGTTATTATTATTTATAAAATCTGGTGGCATTTTATCCATTCTGTTGTGGTTTATGAGTTTTGTATTCAAAAACTGTGTGTGTGTTTGTGTGTTATGTATTTTTTTTTCATAAAAAAAGAACACTTTGTTACTTCGAATTTTTTATTTTTATTTCATTTAAAACCCTTAGCAATTTTAAGACATTCATAATAATATTAAAATGTTAAAACTTAAAACATTGTGGTGTTGGTTAAAAATGACGATGTTCGAGAGAAGTTATACCGATTAAATATACGATTATTAAAAAGATGAACAGAAGAGGACATAATATTATGTAATATTAAATATTGTAGACGTATCCGAATGAAAATAGTTATGTTTTTAGTCTACATTTGTGCGTTATCTTACAATTAGGATCAGTCTTAGGAGATAAAAAAATAGAAGTAAGTTTGGATGTGTGTGGCATTTACACCACGATGAGTAGTAGTAGTTGGTGGTAGTAGTAGTAGTAGTAGTAGTAGTAGTAGTAGTAGTAGTAGTAGTAGTAGTAGTAGTAGTAGTGGTAGTAAACAGTAGTCAGTAATAGTAGTTACAGTATGATGGTATTGTGAAGAATTCTTATTTTTTGTAAACTATGATCGTGTCTCGTCGACCGAGAGACTCATCGTAACGTCCACATTATCGGCAGTCAACATTCGACAAAGGTTACCAACACAGTGTGTGTGAGTGTGTGTGATGTAGAACGAGTAAAGCAAGTATGACAGGAGAAGTAAGAGGAGGAGGAGGATGTATATCATCAGCGACAAAAACATGAAATAACCATGATAATTGCCATCGCCGTTGTCGTCGGGACAATAGGTACGAAAATCGTGAAATCTCTCGCGGAGACCTTCAGCGACAAACGCTTTTCCTCGTCCACATCCCGATGCGGCAGTCGTATCGTCGTCGTTTTCCGTCGGCGGCGGCTGTCATCTAGACACGGCGGCAGAAGTCGGGACCGGGGCCGAGGCCGCCGCCGCCGCAGCAGCTGCATCGTCTCGGAAGTCCAACGACAAGTCTACTTCGAGCGTCGTCTCGCCGCCGTAAGTATTCGTCGTCGCAGTTTGCTCGTTGGCGGACTGCTGTGGCCCTCGGAGCTGCAGGACAGTGGGGTGCGCGGACCCAGAAGACGCGACCACCACGAACTCGCCGCCTGGCAGTATTTCGAACGCCGTTATAGGGTTAGCAGGGGTGAACTCCGAGACTAGTTGGCCTGCAGACAGTTTAAACGAAAGTAAGTTTATATTGTAAAGATAATAATAAAATATATTCTATATTCACAATTTAACCACATAAATTATTTAATTTTTAATCATCTTCTTTTTCTTTGCCCTTCGCCCCCAAACTATATGCAATACCCTTGAGTATTTAGGGGGATCGGTGGTGGACAATTTATAAGGAGTTCGAAGTAGGCAATTTTGAAATTGTTTACATGTGGGTCTTGTAAATGTCTGCGTAGTATGTGATGATTAGTGTGTGTGACTGTGTGTAAAAGAAATAGTGAAGCGTTCCCGCACGCTCATGTACAAGTCATCTACTCGGCGTGAATGGTAAACAATTTATGATCATTTGTATGCATTTCTTATCCATCCTACATTCCTACCGATCGACCTAATAATACTATAATATTTTAGCAGACTGATCCGAATTCTTTATAATGTCTACTTGAGGTCGATCAGTCCACATTTTAAGTTTTTTGTATACAATTCCAAATAATCAACTTTTGAAAATTACAAAATTTTAAAATATTCAAACTAAATTTGAGGGTGAAATTGGGAAAATTAGACTGACCGATCTTAAGTAGACTTAATAAAAAATTCAAACCAGTTCTAAAAATGATTGTCGTATTACTACGTCGATCAGTATGATGGACAAAAGATTGGTTTGTTTTGGCTAACTGACCGCCGCCGGTCCCACCTGTACCATTGCAGAAGACGACCGATTTAGACTATCAATGCCTAATCAGTCATCAACTAATAAAAAATAAATATAAATAAATATCTTTCTTAAGGGGAGGGGTTTTTGTATATGCCACTCTCGGGATGGCCTCGGAAAATATCCCTCAAAAAAATGCCCGCACGACCGTATCAATTAGTATTCGCAAAATCGCAACACGATGAAAAGGTGAACCGTGGACCTATTTTTCAGTTTATGTATACAACCACTCCCATCCCGATTTTCGCAGTGTTGGAATCCGGTGGATAGGCAACAGTAGGTATATAATTTTAAATTCATTCACAATACTTATTAGTTATATTACCTATACTTTCGATGAACATAAATTTACGAATTTTGGTTTTTGATTCATTTTCACTGTTTCTTGCAGTATGTACCTACTTATTTTAACACATTATATAACTCTACAATAATATAAAAACCTAATGTAAAGATTTTCTAGAAATATATGTATTAATGTTTTATTTTTTTTTTATTTTTTTTTATTTATTATAATTTCGAATATTTCTGTATTTTTAGAATAATTTCATAGTGAATGTCTTTGTTATGTTGTTAGTCCTGGCTTCCTACTCGTTATAAGGTTCCTACTCTCCCACTGACACAAGCGTTTTGTGTATTTGTTAACGACATTAGAGAGCACCTAAATAATAAAAAACGATCGGAACACTACTCACCGGTGGTGACGTTCCATAGTTTGATCGTCCGATCTCGGGCGTGAGTGTCCAGCGACACGAAAGAACCGCCGGCCGGGTCCAGTCGGAGGCTGGTAACCGGCGCCACGTGGCCGCTTAGCGTCCATCGGCAGTTACCGGTGGTCAGGTCCCAGATGCATATGTGGCCGTTCTCGTGGCCACTCAGGACGCACCCGTCCTTGGACGATATGTCTAGCGCCACGCAGTTCACGCCGGGCTTCCACTTTTTGAATAACGTGCCCGACTGCAGGTCATACACCACTATGAAGTTAGGCCCGGGCTCGTCTACTTCCTGTGTGGGGAAAATAACGATGAACATTCTTAATATCACGACGACGTAAGCACTAAGATGTGCACTAGTTATATAGTTGGGTGTCGTTCTATTGCGGTTGTTGCCGACGTTTCGAGTGAACTAATAAGTGAAAGTTGGAAAATAAATTTCATATTACCGTGTTCGGTAATAAAGTTACACCGATGGTTTTTGTATCTTAATATTACTACAAGTTATCCACGTTACCAGCTCAATGAATTATAATATTATGTTGTAGGTACCTATATGTATCATTATGTATTGCTAGTTTTAACTTATATAGTTCATAATATTTATACATAGATAATTTATTATGTAAGATGTATCGGGCCAAATTTTTGCCTAAGTGAGCTAAGTTGTTTGTCAATAATCAATTGAGAAAAAAAAAATTTTTAATATTGGCGGAACCCAACATTTAAGAAAACGAATGAATTTTTACTTGAGCGACGCAGCATACGTAGTGGCCCTCGTAAGTGATGGCCGCGAGTCGAGTGACGAATTCATGGAACGGTATGCGCAAGTCGTACATCAACTGCCTTGAGGTCAAGTTCCACACGAGCAGCGGAAAAGGTTTTTGAGTTTCGTCACCGCACACCATGACTCTGCAGAAAAAACAATGATGGTTAAAAAAAAATAATAATAACGCCGACGAATCGATACTCGGTCATGGTCACAGTACCTCCCGTTTCCGGACACCAGCAGTGAGTTAAGGAATCTGTCTTCACCGGCTTTAAAGTACGCCTCTATAGTACCAGTTTCGATGTCGATCAGGTTCACATGCATCCTGCTCCTAGCCAACGCAACGAGTTTCGTGGAACTGTGCAAGCCGAAGTAAGGCATGTTTTGATTCATAACACCTGCGGGAAACAAAAAAGCGCGTTCAACAATGATCTATTGAAGTCTCTTGCTGTATTTAGCCACGGCAGTGCATGGTAATATAATTATAATTTTACAATGTTGGTAAAATTTAAATATGTAGTTATTTCGGTTATCATTTAAAAAATTTGATATTCACAATGTCAGTTCCTCTTTTTAAAATACATATAAGAAAGTGAACAAGGGTTTCGATCAGGTCCCGGTTCTATTGCGAGATATTTTTAACGTCCTGATTGTTATAATGTGAAAGGGCATACCTTTGAGTTTGCTGATCACTTTTCCGGTCGCCAAGTTGATGACGATAAGTTTTCGCTCGCATAACACTATGCAACGCTCATTGTCGATCAGTTTCATCGCGGTCGGATGGAGGATTCCCTTGAGCGTGCGCACTCTCATACAGCTATGGACCCAAAAAAAGAAAACCTGTCAAGTCGATTATAAGAGATCTTATAATGTATTCTGCCGAACTCACGTGTGTACGTCCCACACGCTTATTTCTTTCCGCCCGGTACTGACGGTGATCACGTAATTCGCGTCGTCGTTGAATCGTTTGACCAAGTCGAACCTGTCCGTGGCACCAGCACCGTCTACGGATTCTGACAACTGTGCCGCCGCAGTCGCAGCATCCTTCGGAACTAGTGGCATCAATGTCGGGAACGGAGGCGCTTCCATCAGGGCCCGGTAGCGGTCAGCCGCCGGCTGGTACAGCGACATTTGCGAGTACAGCTGGTTGCCATTGTCCATTACGGCTGGCATGGCGGACGACAGGAAGTCTCTGAGGAAACTCGCTTGCGGCTCTTGGGCGTGGACCGACAGTTCGTCTAGTAACTGCACAAACGAGTATATAGGTATTATGATAGTATTGAGTACCTTGATTAATAATGTTATTGTAAAATACGGTTCTGTGCGCTCATAGGTATTTGAAAAACTAACTAGGGGGTACAAAAAATTAAATATCTTAAAAATAGGAACGCGAATTGAAAAAAATTTGCCCCGATAAATATAGAATTGTATTGGAATAAATTGTATAGACATATATTATATATTACACACTCGCCACACTCATGTGAACCAATAATTTTTCTTTTGCCATCCCACATCCTGTTTTCTGGTGTCGGGAAGCGAAAATTTATCGTTTAGCACTATGGAATAATAATTCACCTAATGATCATTATCCTGTTATGAACAAGCTTGGTTTGAGTACTTAAGTTGATAAATGGAAATTGCTAATTTAATTTTGTGTAATATATGACAATATTGACTCTCCTGTGCAAATTTAAAGACCTTTCCTCTTATTTCCGTCACAAATATCAATTTTCTATACCTAAACGCAACAAAAAATATTTTGAGAACCTGCCAATAATTAGAATGATGAGTATGGCAAGCAAATAGTGATCCATCATCTTTTTAGTATTTTTATTTTTTTAATATAAATTATTAAATTAATATTTATTATTTCTATGTAATAGGGTGAAGCCAATATTTTTGATTAAAATAAAATAATATGTTATTATAAATTGTATGAAAAATGTATACTAATATTTAATCACCCTTGTTATATAATTACATTTTTTCTTTCATCGTTTACTTCAGAATTTTGTTGGAATTTGGAGTCATTCTACATGAGCATTTTAATATGCTACATTTCAAAATTATATCCCCGTGTATTATAGTCGCGCGGATTTAATCGTTGTAAGAATGTAAGATAATCGGACACTTGACTTACCTGTAGCACCGACCCATTATTCAGTTTTTCCAAAACCCAATCGAGGTCGCTGAAAAATTCTTTGATCGTCTCCGCCTGGTCGGTCAGGTGAGTACACTCATCCAGTTTCCTGCGTTTCGTTAAGTTCTTCTTGCCACTGTCGTCCTCTGCCACTGACATCACCTGTCACCGACCAGAGAATATATAATGCCTGCATTATTATAAATATAGGTATACTTATAGGTACTATAAGATAGATAAGTAGTCTCGAACGACGGAAAGTCTTTCCGGGAGAGATAATTTACTTTAATGTAATATCAATGCCGAAAATAGCTGAAATTCTCTGGGAACGGGATTAAACACCATTATTATTTATTTAGTTATTTTAGAATTACCTTCCGAAAAATCACTCGAATGAATATGTCTACATATTTTTCAATTTCTCAGCTTATATAATATTATAAACATATTTTTTACACACCATTTTTTGAACATTAAAATATTTAATTCATGAATTAAAAAAAATAATTCCACTGTCAAAATAATATACAATATTAAACATAGTATATTATGTCACTATCGTAACATTTATAAATTATTTAATATAGCCAACTATATAGGTACCTACATTTATGTTATATTTTATTGGAGTACATTGTATACTTACAGGAAAACATTAAACAATTTCTAAGGAAAATAATAAGCATCGTAAAACCTTTGTAACGTGTAAAATATATTTGAAGCGCACAAGACCACCAATTTGCGCGACTGTGGAGTACTGGAGTGCATACCTGGTCGTTGTAGTACGAAAGCATTTTCTTATTGATGCGCTGGATGCACGCGCTATAACGCCGACCCGCGGCTTCAGCGACTGCGGCGTTCTTCCATCGGACTGTCGCGTATCGATCCGTTTTGAACCAGTACAAAAATGATGACATCAGCTCGTTGAACATTGCCCAGAAGAGACCGGCCGAAGACGAAATCGCTGTAGTATGATATACGTTATATTACCAAACAGTAAAAAAAGCAAAATTGTGACAATTTTTAAAAAGTTTTATTAAAAAGTGAGTGGTTGTGTTCTATATTTTTTTCTAAAGAAAATCTTAAAGTTTTTTTTTATTGATGACTGATTATATTTATAAGTGTGCAGTTTTGGGTTATATAAGGCCATCAAATGTGTCATATATATTATATTTGATTATATTCAATTCTCGCGTACGACACATTTAACTTATATAAAAAATATAGGGTTCTACATTACAGACACGAGTCTTATTTTCTTATAATCACTCACCAACGACGGAAAGGTCTGAAGATCGAAATTCGTTCTCCGAAGACAGTAATTCGACCAACTCCGAATCGAGTAAACCATATCGGGTGGCACACATGTGTCCAATCACGGAGGATACCTTGAGGACATAATACAAGTAAACAATAAGTATTGGTTGTAAATATAATATTTACGATGCTTAAATCATATATGAAGCATTTAAGCAATTTATAAAACGTTTCAATTTCAAAACGGTTTTTGTGTCATGTGAATCATTAAAACTATTTTAAAACGTTTTTAAAATATTCAATCAGTTTTAAAGTTATAACTTCTTCACTATATACATTGTTCAAACGATTTCAACCGTTTCAATTGCTTCGATACTAATACTGATAGTTGCATCTTATTTATTATTATTATTTTATTTTCATCGCAGCCGCAAATTTTGTTATAATAATCTATACATTAATATTTTTCGATGTAGATATTATAATAAGGCTGTACCTTGTCTTTGCCGAGATGTGATTCGACGTTGTCAAAAATGGCTTCCACCCACTTTTCAGCCGAGGGTGGTTGTTTTGAGTTTCGGATCTTAGATAACAGCGAGCTTACATGGAGTTCCAACGGTGTTTTGGCGGCCACCATTTTGGCGTCGGTTTTGATCGTTTCACTTCCGCCGCCACCGATCGGTCGGATGATCGCCGTTGATAATAAGGAGTCGATTTGTTCATCAGTCATGTTTGCAATCTATTAACACAAGTAGGTATAATAATTTTATAATAAATTACGACGATTTGCGATGGAGATTGATGTTATCTGTGAGGTATCACATATCAATAACATAAATTAATATATTATGAGTACTTATAACCAACCCGTATATACGAATCTGTCGATTTTATGGTCTGTCGCAATCGGTTTAGGTGCGGTGAAGGTTCCGAGGCCGATACTACGATCTTGACGTTGTTGGGCAGTGACTGTGGTATCCAATCCACCAAATCATTCTCGAACTGTACACATAAATGAACATGAAGTGATGAAAATATAATAAACGGCGGTAACTTTGTATAGATATCTGATATATATCATATATAACTAATATAGTTATGAATATACGACGCACTAAAATGCGTTTCAAAGCTAACATTTTAACAATAATAATGTTGTACGCAAATAATATATGAAAATGAATCTCAATTCTTAATTTTGTGTCCTCTAACCAAATCGTATACTGGCATACCACATAACATTTGTACAACATGTAAAAGTGTCTAAGACCCTGCAAATATTAATGAAATTTCTATAAAAAAATTTCAAAGAAGGACCTTAAAATCTAGAAATTATAAAAAGAATTAAAACCAAATTATATCAACATGATATTACATAATATATGCTCTATGATAACAAAATTGAAAGTTTGGAACTTTGAAGTAATAGAAAGCTATGTATAAAAAATGCCTTAGCTAAAAATTCACAGTTCTATAATATAGTTATAAAATGACAGTTATAGAATGACATCTGCAGTGTAATATTTACTCGATCGATTCCATCGACAATCAACGTCACCGGCCGTTTCGATCCAACCGAACCCAACAGCCGTATAATTTGTTCCGAGTACAGTTGTACGTCCTGAAAACGACGGGGGCGTAAAATTGACGAAATTAAAAAAAATTATTTTTTAGAAACGAAACTCACGTGCTTGAACCAAGTACATTTTCCGCTGTCTATGAGATTCAATTGTACAACCAGCGAGTTGAGCGTTTGCCCCAGCGACGAGCTGTGAGCGGACGCGTTGGCGAATCTCATCACCACGGCCGCGTCCTGATTCCACACGTGACAGTGTTTCGCTATGGACGCCATCACCGTGGTCTTGCCCGACCCCGAAGGCCCGTACAGTATCAACGGGTACCCTGCGTCCGCGTCCGTCAAATACCTGTGTGCAGCGATACAGGTAAATAATATTATCGTATCCGAAGGTCGTCCCATATAGTTAACGAATCTATATACCCGCGGAAACAGTCAATCAAACAAAATCAGAGTCTTAATCTAGAGATTTCGATTTCTTCTATTAGATTTCATAGAATAACTTGACCATAGGTATATCAACTAATTATTATCAAACGAACGTTTTCTACAAGTCAATAATACGTACTTTTTGGCACGTTCCATAACATCATCCCGGCGGACAGCCCGTTTAGCCGCGTTGTACCCAAACCACGCTTGAATCCTCAGTTCTTCCAACAGTATTCCGCTCACACCATACGTAGGCTCTTGTTTTTCCTATACATACACATCGACAACAACATTATCAGTATTACATTTTGAAAGTACCTATTACAATTAAAAATGTTAAAATTCTTTGCCTAAATAGAATTTGTAATTTTTCGTTACTTCGACTAATTATGTAAAATTTGAAAAACAGACACTTATAAAAATATGTTTGCTTTATTTTTGATGTTTTTGAACTGCTATAAAATCAACTCATGGTGAACAATAAAAGTCCCAGTGGCGTAAGTAGCAAGTTTTCAAATAGGATTAACTTTAAGCCTTAACCCCAGGGATTATTTTTTAAATTTAATGTGCATCATTTTAGGGGTGTATTTGTATTCTATTTAGAAGTTTTCTAGAAATAGCTCCACCCAGCCACAATATTTGTGCTACTGATGAATAGTATTTACTGTATGCCAAGATCTCGGTGTCGGTGACCGGTATGTAATTCATAACTGAATTTGGGAGAGCACAGGAGAACGGAATACCTCATATTAAAAATATATTTTAGAGTATCCCATCTAATTATATTATAACCAATAAGTCATTTACATTTTCAGGTCTACATTTTTTACACTTTTGCATCCTTTTAGACAACTTCCAAATTCGATCACTGTATTTTTCAATCGTTATATACTCATGTTGCATTATTATGTATTACTTATATATACTATACTACTCACCCTTTCCTTGTCTACAGATTCGACAATAGTCGTTATTACGGATGCTACTTTTTTTAAAGACTCCGCCGCGTTAGCGGTCTCGTAAAATATGATACTGGTTTCCGGCAATTCATTCTGTACGAAACAAATTCAGACAAAAATAAATAAGTATATAATATAGAAAAATTAAAAACACGATCGCATTCGCCGTGGAAGCTTATATATATATAAATATTTTATAGTAAGGATTAAATAAATGAAACACCTTCAACTGCTTGCTGAGTTGTTCAAGTCTCTTCTTGGTTTCCACCGAAGTGGTCTTACACTTGTGACCGGAAACCACGTCATAATTGTTGATAATCCACACCGATCTTTTAGCCAACTCGGCGTTCAATATGATCTCATTACGGACTTCCTGCGTGCATAATATAAAACGTCCCGTTCTCAGATTATTGTATTTATTGTTCAATACTCGCGAATCAAATTTGTATACATAATATATAATCACTAGTTTACCTGTTGAAAAACTTGTTCAACGTAACCGTTCCGCGACGACTTTGAATCGAACGCCTTCATGAGTGCGATTTGAAGCTGTACTTTCTCATCGTGCCATAATTTTTCGTCAGCTTCCTAAAAATAATTAACAATACAAAACATAAATATTTATTTTACTATTTCACGACAAGGCTCCCAAATAGGTACATAAGGTACATAAATGTTGGTGCAATATATAGATTATACGATTTTAGCTTTTAAAATTTGGTTTTACCTTCCTACAAAATAAACTTATCACTTGCCTTATAGACCACCCTACCTCCTCCCCCACTATGGACAAAATTCTGGCTCCGTGTCAAGACTATACCCTTTAATTTTACATGACGTATTACCTGAGTCTCGAAAGTCGTTTCAAACATCATCTCGTTCCGGAGTTCGTAGTGGTTTTTCTGCGCATCAAGCGTGTACCATTTTTCGATCAGCTTGCTGGCGTCTGGCGTTTTGTTCCTGGCGAGATCGAAGTCTTGTCTGGTCATCACGTGGGGTAGGACCGGTGGACCCAGCGAGTCGTCTACGAACACGACAGGCACCACGTGGCCAACGCGGTTCTGTCGGCGCAGTTCCGCCAGCCGGACAGGCGTATCCAGTTGTCCGTATTCTTGCTGTTGCTGGTGGTCGCAGTAAAGGTCTACCACGTGTAGTTCGTAACCAATTTTCGTGCATTTCGACCGGATTTCCGGCAGTACGCTTTTGTACAGGATCTGCCTTTCATCCGGAAATCCTGCGAGTCACATTACGTTTCAAAAAATCGTTTAATTACAACACACTCGTATAACAAGGCATTAGTATAGGTACATTTTATTTTTCTAATATCGATATTTGGTATCTACATAAATGCTTAAATAGTAAATACGCATTTTCTTGTGAAAATATTGAATTACTTAAAGTTCAATTTACATTTGTATAACTATACAATAATATATTAGCAACGTAAAACAATTTACTTAAGTACCTAAATCATATTAGGTATTTATAAAATTGTATCCCATAAGTTATTAATATAACGATAACTGTATAACCTCGCTGAACTTGGAAGTTGAAACAAGACCCATGTACTAAAGTACATGCAGGTGAATAGAAATTTGTATACATGTTGAAAATAGGCATTGTTTATATTTATAGAAAATATTATAATAAATTTATCTCTACCTGCATCTACTATATAGTACTAACAGTTAATATAATATTTAACCAACAGTGTTGTGTACTGAAAATTAAGCCTAAAATGAAGCGACGAACATTTTTTTATCCACTTGCCTTTATTGTCTGGCACACAGATGTAAACGACAATTTTGTTGGTCTTTTGATTTGCGGTGGGTTCAAAAACGCCAAGCAGTAATTTCTTCGTCTCGGTCGATACGCTTTTCAATTCGTCCGGTAGGATAAATGCAAAACATTTTTCTGGTGTTTTATCTACTGGAAAAATATAAAACATTTTTGATATTATCAAACTGTCAAATAGCTGTCAAACCACTTTTTTTTGTATTTTACGGTGTATAATAGTATAGTATAGGTAGGTTTTTCGAGGCAGCACCGAGAGTCATGATAATATATTATTACATAATAATATACCTACTACAATTTAAAGTATCTACAATTTATACAACAGTAGCGACTATAGAGTTCTAAAATCACTGAATAAGATTGCTACATTATATTATAGTATGCGGCATGTGATGATATACCTCTTATTCGAGTCTTAAATAAACTTATGTCGTAGCTGCTGTTTAGTTTATATTCACATACACAGTACCTAACCACGGTTTACCTTGTACACATTACCTGTGGAGGAGGATATGTTGTTCGGTTCGAAGGGCTTACAGACGACAGTTGTCGCGGTTGACTGATCTTCGGGCTGTTCAATTCTCGGAATTATAAAAGTTACCCCGCCGACGTTGCAATTGGATGACACAGCCACTTTGCTGCTATTGGTTGCGGCCGTTGTTGCCGCCGCAGGCACCGTGGCATGTTTTTTGCCCTTTTTGGGAACGGATATTACGTTGGTTGACTTGTCGGCTTTCCTTTGATTTTTTTTGTAACGAGCTTTATGCAAGTACCTATAAAAATATAATAATTGAAATAAAATTGATTAAATTTTAAATGTTCACTACTTTGCGAACTGAATACATAAGCACACAAGAATACACTACGGCCACGGATCGCAAAAGTGCATTTAAGGGGACAATCACTCCTCCCCGAAAGCATTTTTTTCCATCATATACATTCGTCCTTATTAACATTGATAATTTTATTTTAATAAGCATTTCATAAAAAATATAAATTCAAAACAATTGAATTTTTATTTTTGATAAGCAAATTGTATGTGATTTGTGTCGGTATAACTCCATTTGGAGAGTCACGATCTAAGATATATATAATCGTGGCGTATAGCCTAGAATCTATTGTTATGTAAATAATAAGGTTTTGTTTTTTATCGTATTATATTTATGAACTATTATTGTTGTTTAGATGAACTCTCAAATACAGCACCACTGGCTGGCAGTTCACTTATGTACGCGGTTTTTGGAATGCGTACCGCGCACGTGATGACACGATAATATTATAATATAAGAGAGAGCGCCAAACACGCGCAAGTTCCAAATATAACGCATCGTACCGCGACATAAGATTTTGTGTCGAATTTGGCACTGCGAAGGAAGAGCACGAAATTTATGAATAGCAGTGGCGTGTGTGGGTTTTTTTTGGGGTGGAGGGAGGGGGGTGGAAAATCATAATTTTATTTACGTTATTCACACGCATGCCGTAGCATTACACCTAATTATATCGTAAGTATACGTCTTGTTTCGCCGCTTCTGCTTCTGATGTATATACTTTTGAGACCGCGCGCGCGCCTCTAATTTACTGCCATGACTTATAAATATAAACACGATAATATAAATACGCACGAATCTGTGAGGTTTGTCACATCAAATACCACAGTAAAAAAATGCTGCCCAAAAAATGTTCGTAATGTCTTATGAATGCCAAATCGTTTCCCCAGTGTGGTTAGCATAATTATGTTTATTAAATAGTGTGGCCTGTACAAATTATATAATATTTGTGTTAATTTCACTGCAATATAATGTTATGAGTTATGTATGACTATCTAGGGTTTGATATTTAACGATCTAAAAATGTACTAAGTATCATATTATAATATGTATTTATGCATTATGCATTTAAAACAAAAATATGTAGATAAGTATAAATAAAAAATAATAATTTGATCAACAATTTATTGATCAAAATAAACATACATACTTACTGATTTTAAAGTTATTAAGCATAAATATAATGTGATATAATAATATATGTGCTGTATTGTGTTATATAATATTAAGTTTAATTAATTTTCATTAGGTACCTACCTAAGTAATTTATTACATAATCATCAAATATATGTTCTAAAAGTTCTTAAAATTCAAAAATGTACCCTACAAACTTTTAATATTTCATTTGCAAAGTCGTGAAATTAATTTATAACTTACATAAATAAATCAGACCTTCCTAAAAAAAAACCATGCAAACAGCAAATTATGAGAACTAATTTATGACCATGATTTAATTGCCCTGCCGAGAGTACATCACAATCACATTCACATTTACGTTGAATATTGATTATTATAAAATGTATGTATAATATATATATTGGTAGTTATGCATGTAATAAACAATATAAATTTTGCATAGGTACAACTATATGTCTATATATATATTATGCATTCATATATGGAGGAAGAGTGAGAGAGCGAGTGCCGTCGCTAAATTAAATGTATATAATGTTTGAACTTCAATTACCCTTACTTATATTAGTAACTACCATCAATAAATTATTATAATCATTTACCTCGCGAGAATATACCCACGGGAGTGTAATATTTTCTATTGCAGCATAGATAACTATAATTATGTTATTATTTCAAATGGCTAACCATAATAAATCTAAAATGCATAGTTTAGAGATTAGAGTTGTAGTTACTATTAATTATAATACAAATTTCGCACCGCAAATATAATATTTAATAACTAATGATCTTGTATTCCAAGCTGTTCTATAAAACCATTAGGTACAATATAGCCATATAGGTATATAATACATATACACACACTATATTATACAATCGGAGTCGGACACATCGGCTTAGCATAACCTAGGTATCATACTATCACACTTAAGAAAGTTTTTGTCATTGTTATAATGGCATGCATACCACAGGGTTCATTAATCGGTATAATACTCAGCTTTTTTTTCAAATGATAATCACTCTTTCTCCTGTAAATATCTATATGGGTTTCTTGAGAATTGTGATGTATCGCAATCCAAATTCGAACTAGTAGGTTTTGAGATGTTTAACTTTGTCTACATACTAAGGATAATTATGAGTCCATGGTAATAGGTTTGGAACATATATTTTATGTGAGTTATTATGATTCGAAAATTATAGTATAATTAATGTTAATCTATGAACATTTAATCGTTAGGAAAAACTTTCTAACTTTAATTAAAACTAGATTAAATATTACATCGTTGTATGGCTATTTTTAAGAACTACCTATTATCCTGAATGTATTGTGACATTTTAATAAATCAAAAACTATTCGTTCAAATTTCAATTTAAATAGATACATTAACATTTTCAAAAAAATTCACCTTGTCAACAATTTAAAGTAAACATGTACTATCTACTCATAAAAAAAAAAGTTTGTATCATCACAGAACACTCTTTTAGTCCTTAAATAGTGAAACAAATTGAAGTATTTAAAAATATGGTCCTTAAGTGTACTTACAAAGTTACAAATACAAAACTTCAGAATTTGAGTAAACTCGTTATTAAACGAAAAAGTAAGTGAGAGCATAATGATTGGTGAATCATCCTGTATACCTATACATAGATATTATACTTTACAGTTGTTTGTAATGTCGAAGTTTGACTTATAGCCTATGGGTAATTATTTCTCAAATAATCGAATTGATCGAATTCATGTCTATAAAAACGGCAGCCTTAATTGTTTGAAAATAAATTTACCTAATTGCAATATAACATACGCTAATTAGGAAGAAATTATATATAAAAAACAAAACAAATTTTATTGCACTTCGGATTTTGGGGCAATAGCCTCGACCCTGAATGTTTAGTTTTTCGATACGTCTTTTACCTTTGTGAGTGCACTCAGGTGAGCACATACTAGACACAATAGGTAAATATACTTAAAAAATACCCTATATAACAATATGTATACGCATAGGTACATCAGTATACATGAACGTATGTAAATAATTGTTTGTTTAAACGGGCATTATACCTAAGTACGTCCACAAAAAATTACCAAATATATTCAACTTAACCTAAAGTAACATTCCCGAAAGACGGCCGGTGTATCAAATTATACCGGCGCGTCCTATACATAATACATTTTACCGTCAACGGCAATTAAGTGACGGACGATGTTATTGTTTTCAAGTCACATACCTAGCCAAAATTAGTCTCTATTATTGTTGTAGGTAACATTGAGCAGATAATAAAAAAACAATATTATAACGAATCATTTGTCGGATGCTCTTGAGAAAAATGTATGTATATAAATACCGCTGCCAGTGACGACTGACGAGTGTAGACGGTGTCTAAACCAACCTGCATACCAGCATCTAACAAGTCTGGATTCAGCAATGTTTTGCCACGGTTTTTTTTCAGTCTTTAAAATATAAATTATGATTTTTAATTTATATATGACAGTGCCGCCGCCAAGATTTATTTTCGTTGGGTAGGAGGGGGCTAAAATATATTTTATTACTAGGGCTAGGGTACTACTGACTTTTTACAATATAGTAAGTTTGATATTTTAGGGAACTTGATATAGGTACTATAATTTATAAACATTAATAACGGCAAGGCTGGGAATGCAATGCATTAAGTAAAAATCTTAAAATACAATTTTTATAAAGATATATAGGTAAACCTCTGAGTTTAGTGTTGAATGCCTTTAAACTCTACAATTTTAAAAAAATTACCTTAAAATTAAAATTGTCAAAACATACAAAATGAAAATTTTCTTATTTTGATTCAAACGAGCGTCGCGTAGCTATAACTTTGGAAAAAATGTAAAGTGCATCGAAATATCTGCCTTATACATAAGTAGGTATATAACAATAAACACTTAATGAAGTTCCACGTCTGCCTCACCATCCCCACTCTAACCGTTCCTGGTACCTACACAGATATAACACTATAATATTAACATTTTTATTAACATTCAATAATAAAAATGGAATTATAAATATACCTTTAGTATACAATAACAAAAATAGTATGTATATTTTACTCTGTGATTGTCTGTACTAACGTTCTAGTGAGTTTTTTAACGAATAAATGTTCATTGATTTGCCCGTCATATAATTTTTGAACATTTCTCAACGATAGTTAAACTATAGCTACCATGAAAACAGAGTGAACCTAACACAACCGCTGTTAATATGTGTTACAGGATGATCATTGATCATTAATCAAGTATGCTCTGAGAGTTGCAACTCTATTTTATTTTTTAATAACGTATTTATTCAATTTCTTATTTTTGGAATTTTAAGGTGGGTAACCGTATTTTAAAAATACTAAGATTTTCTGTTTCATTTAAGAAGTTCTGTAGAAGTAAAAACGTTATTTCAAATGAGAACCGCCTCTTTTACTGTAAGCTATTAAGCAAGATGATTGTTTTGGACATTTTTATGCATCTTAATCGAATTTCAAACCATCAAACTGGTATATTTTCAGTGTTATTAAAACGTACCTATATGTATTAATTATATAATATAGTAAATATTTAAAGAATTAATAGCGAGCTCGTTTCTAATGGTCCAATAAACATGATTTAGTGCTTAAGTATTGGCTCATGAATGGCCAGTTAAATTTAAATGAATTAACAAATGGAGACATTTTTATATACAACTCGGCATTAGTATATTAAGTCATCAGAAACTACCCGTTCGAATTTCGATTTGTAATATATAAATGGGTACCTGCATCAATTTCCTTTTCAATTATTTGCGTCACAGTAAAATATGGCTAATATATATTAGAAAAAAAGTTTGCATCGCCATAGGATACACCATACACCTTGGTTATAAATTTATAATATAGTCTTACTGACCTAAAAGTATACTTAAGAGTTCCAAAACTCCGAATTTCAATAATTATATTAATAAGTTGAAACATATTATTATGGTTACTACAGTATTCATGAATCATTGTGCAGTAAGTAGCAATAGTCCAGCAAATGAGAAACCGCATCTATTTGGAGTGTAAAACGCGACGTCAAACTATATAAGTATATAACATGCTATGGATTACCTATGCTTTAAATGTATACCTATGTTTGAAATGACGAGTTATTCAATCGATTTATGACACTCGAACAACAATATTTTAAATAACTTTTAAATAACTATTTTCGAGATAAAAATTTACCGAAAATGTTAATCGGAATAAGATCTTATTATTATTTATAATTATAATATTATGTAAAAAAGTACGTTTGTTTAAGGTAACCTATACTCGGTAACATAAAATTATATTGCGTCGATGTTCGTCTTCGCGATGTCTCACTGTCGTTTAAATCAGAATTCAATATATGTGTGTAATACATGGGATTACCTGTACATATATTATTATATATAATTCTTTTCAATGAGATTTCACTAAAAGTTCATAACCGGTTCCCTGTCACACCACCCAATAATTCATGTTCGGTCTTCTATAATATTATATCTAAGTCAGTTATGAATAAAATATAGCCGCTTGTCAGATGAATTATCAACGAATTATGTTCACAACGAAAGCTATGTTACCGACTTCGATAACGGCGACAAGACGACGTCTCGTTTATCTAGTTATAATAACAATTTATACGATAATAGTATGTGAGGATTGAACAGTGATTGCTGTGGTTAAAATTTAAAAAAAAAATTAAGTATAATGCTTGTTACTATTTGCGTTCATCAACAACAATCAAGTGCCACTTTGACTTTCTAATGTTCGCTTTAATGACGAATAATAACATCCCGTCCCATTATATAAATATTTAAAATGACTATGTAGGTATGAAATGGCAATAAAACATTAACAAATACGAAATATTGTCGTTGTCGTCACAAGGATTGGACATTTGGACCCTAAAAAACAATAATAGCATCAACTCGAGTTATAAATACAGTTCTTCATCTTTCGAACCTTTCAATATATAGGTAATTCAAATTTATCTGAGATAATTTAATATTGAAACAATGAAATGCGAAAATAAAAATTAAACGTTTAACTGCAAACAAATAAATCGTACAACTTTAAAACCTACAGTTAGATACCAACTATTTATGTATAATATATATATATTTTTTATAAATATTTTTAAAACAATTCCAATTTCATTAAATAGTTTTTGTTAGTACCTACCCAATTTTGTTTGGAACTTTTAAAATAATTGAATTATAAAATACAAAATTACAACAATATTCTGCAATAAGATAAAATTGAAATTAAAGAAGAGCCGAGTTGTAGATATAACTTATAACATATAAGTCATGTGTTTCACCATGAAATAGTGTTTTTTTTTATCAAACAAAATAAAAATAATATTTGTATGTATTAATGTTGAGCTAAATTGTCTTTGCTACCAACTATATTATAGTATATTACTTATATACAGTTTAAATATAATTTATATTAGGAAGCGATGACAAATAATGCAGATATAAATCGTTGCATTCGAAAAACCAAATAAAAAATGTATATAGACTGTATAGTAATAATAGTATATATAATATATTATACAGATTACAAACTCAATGCGGAAAATACTGCTTCCTGCAGGCTGCAGTTCTCTAAATACAATTATGTACAGTCTAACCTTATAACTTTAGTTACCTATAAATTGTAGTATAATATTAAAATGTTTATATTTTTATACAATGATATTTACAACTTATCCGTTTTTCTATCTATTTATCTACGAGATAGATAGATACGATAAGAAAACGTGTTTTAATAAAATAAGTATTATGATTATTTTTTTGGAAGAAGCCACCCGTCGATGACACTATAAATTTAAAATTAATTAGTAATTGATATAATAACTAAGACTTGGAGTTATATGCTCTAAAAAAATGTATTATGACCTAAAAATTCTAAAAAAAAATAATCTAAAATAATTTTATATTTATCAATATTATGAAGAATTGTTATTTAATATAACAATTTAGTTGACATGTGTTCAATTAATAAAATAGACATCTATTATACGTGTAAACCACTGGTGCCGGTCGCGTGACGATCCAGTCGTTGAGATAAATCCTATAATTATCCGAGGCTAGTGTAGTTTTAAAAAAATGTACTTTATACTAAAAAAAATGAAAAATAGGTACAAACAACAAAAAATGCCCTAAAAATCTACTATATAGGCTATATTGAACAGTTACAATTGAAACCAATTAGTAGTTTAGAAAATTGGAAAATATTTTGTTTGAACATTGAAAAAAAATCCGAACTTTAATTATTACCATTGTAGTTTAAAAAAAATGTTTTAATTCATTTAAAAGATTGCGACACCATTAGCTTAAGGAGTCTCGGAGGATTACCCAGAATGGTTAAGGACTATACATTTTTAATAAGTGGATTGAAATGGTGAAGTAGGTTATCGTGGAATCTCTTACAAAAGCATGTTATTTCTTTTCATGTTTCTACTAACATTATATTCTGAGATCTTTATAAAGTATTTGATTTTGAATAAACGATGGAGAATATTAAGTTAATTTAAAAAAAGGCAATATTTTGAAAATTCTGAATTATATTATTTTAATTAGCTTTCTTAGCACTTCTCCATAACTAATATACCATGAGAGATGAGACTATAATTAATTACTTTTTGTTTTATGATGTCATAGTTTAAAGTTTCGACGGGACTTGTCGGACTTGAGATAATTGAATAATTGAATATTTTTGCTGTGATAACGAACACAAGTGACTAGTTTTATTAAAGGTCAAAGAATTCAATAATAATTATTAAGACATAAAGCTAGTTGTTAGTGTCTAAAGATTATAGAACGAAAACTTAATAACTGCCAATATAAATGTATAATTGAATGGAACCAGTCGAAAAAAATACAATGTGAAAAGCTTAAAAAAATTTGAACGGGATTATTTAGCTTATTGGGTGCAGCAAATTGGAAGAATTGTATTCAAACTATAAATGCGTAAACAATAGAGATTAAAAGTATTAGGGGATAGTTATGTCTTTTAAAATAAGAAGAAAACAGATTATGTGATATGCACTTAGAAAAAAGATAGTTTATTATTTAGTTTCTAATTTCGATTGAATCTTGCAGGTACCGCGAAAACCATTTAAATTTCAAGAGGACTAACATTTTTAACTTTAATTTGGGCTAAGGCGCTTCACCCGATTTTCGATAGTGGGTACATGATAATTAATAAATATTCGCCAGAGTACGAAAGCACGCAAATACCACGTTTCATTATTATATCAACGGTGTCCAAAATCAAAAGTTTGAATTAGAATACCTATGAAGAATAAAATTATGCCTCTGAACTTTCATCAAAAGTGCTATAAAGTACAATTTTACAATTATTTTGTTAAAGTTAACTATCAACAATTCGATGTAGGTAATATTATACATTTTTCCGATGAAAATATGCAAGACAAAAATTATTCTATTCTATTCAGTATATAAGTCAAATCGTAGATGAACTGACAACCAATGTATTTGGATGCACTTGAATTCATAGAAATCCTAGGCCTAGGACCTAGATAATTATAATATTTAACGGCAGTTTAAAAAAACGTGACGTCATAGCAAATGTTCTACGAGGGCGACCGTGGCGGGCTCGCTATATAATATAACATATATATAATATATATATATAAAGCAAAGGCGCTATTATTTATCGAGCTATGTGGCAAACCACGGAGGGAGGGGGGGCAACGATGGCGACGGTTTTTCTATTTTTTTCCTTATCGTCAAACGTCATATACTTCACACGATCAAACGATGCATAGGTACCCATATAGTTTAAGCATATAATGTTTTGATAAAAAACAAATTTGTCGCTGGCACTTGCGTATAAGCGTACCTAATATATATATTATATTTTTATAGTGTGCAGCAGCAGCAGCAGCTGTCCAAACAATACTCTTTCCCCTCTCCGCGGTGCACCCCACCACACAAGGGAGGGAGGGTCGTCTCCTTGTACCATAACAATAATAATAATAATTATAACTAGGTAGGTACGTTATTCGTTATTGTTATTGTTTATAGGTAGGTACAGCGGTGGCAGCAGTGTACGGTGTACCCATGTAGTACAATATAAAGTACAGTTATTTCGAAAACTATAAATACATATTATAATATAGTAATATTCGGGGGCGCAATTTCAGTGAAAATCCTATGGCTGCCGAAGTTCCCAATTTTTTCAGTGAGTCCTGTGATCACTGTTTACGAGAGATGAGAAACTTCACAACCCTCCCACAGTTCTACATTTGATTCAGACAATAGCAACACTATATTTAATCACGACTTTGTACGGCAGCACCGTTATATTGATTTATTACAAAATAAAATACGGACTAATTAACCATCACAAACGGCATAAATAACACGAGGGTGCTAATTTCAAAACTGGGGCTGCTGAGCACACCCGAATTCCCCTCCCTCCGAATTGCGCCCATTACAATACCATATATACCTAAAATATCGCTAACGACAATACTTTTAGGCCGCCGTCTATACCTATTCAATACATATATGTTGGCTATAGGTATATAGATCGCAATAAGCGGAGCATACCGCGTATACCGGGCATACCTTTATTTTATTTTTACAACGTGCTCTACACGGACGAAACGAGAAGAAGAATTTATCATTATATTATATACAATAATAATATACTCACTCGTCGGAACCGCCTCCGCTGTCCTTTTGTTTCGACGAACAATAGTTACCCATGTCGTCGCCGCCGCCGGTTTCCGACCGCCGAAAACGCCGCGCTCGTGAAGCCCGGATAGCCGACTATTAACACTACTCACGGCGACAACAACGACGCGACCGGCACCGTCGCCGACGCCGCCGCGAAATCGTCATCGTCATCGCCGTCACCGCCGCCGCCGGACCGACGGACGAAACGCGCGCGAATCCGTTTTCCCGCGGCGGCGCGAATAAATAAATCCCGAGAGACAATAATTATTGCCGACAATTATTATGTCAACAATATTATAACGTGTCCTAGCGGCCGCCACTATAACGACATCGCACGGCCATAAATACTATGACAACAATGATGATACGACGGCCGACTATATTATTGTCATTTTACGAGAAACGCACTATAACAATAATAATATTGCATAGCCGCTTCGTCGCCGTCGTACAACTACCGTGGCGCGCGGCGGCGAACAGTACGGGTACTATATCATATAGTATAGACAATAATACAACCGAATACGCGCGCACGGGTTTTTCCACGGGATTGAAGCGCGCGCGCGCGCGCTCGGCCGTCCTCGCCCCGGCGCCGGGAACGCTGGTGCGCGCGCGACAACACGCTGCGCGCCGCCGTCGCCACGACCACACGGACGGGAAAAAAAGATAAAAACGGTCCACGGCGACGCTCGAAATAGACCGCTCAACGCCGCCGACTACGATGCCAAAACGCGACCGGAAGCGGAAAGACTGGAAGAGTTTCGACAGCGGACCGTCGTAGCGATCAGACGTGTGTCGGGCGATTAGAGTGTACCTACGTCGCGAGAACAACGAAGAAATATTACGATAAAATTTAATAATCGCGTTCGGGGAAATTTCATCCCGCGCGCGTGGGTTTTCCAGACGTCACCCCTCCCACTAGAGGGACACAGTCAGCGTTCCGGGAAGTGTCGCGGCGGCCACCCCCCAGCGGGGAGGCATTGATTATTTGATGACGACGACGTTGCCAAGTGTTGTGTTTCGCCACACAACCCCTAGCGCGACCCGCCCAAAGAGCTCGTATATACACATTCGGCGGCGGACAGTTTTCCCACCGAATTTTTCGCTAAGTTTAAGCTGCTACCCCTAGGAAAACCTCGTTACACGCTACGATACGAGTCTAAATGCAAAATTAATAATGATAAATTAAATAAACACTTTTAATTATTTATTTATTTAATTATATTAATATTAATAATATAAGTACAATATTGGTGATACACCATAAAACAAGGTGTGTTCTCCTATTTAATTCATTCGGATAACACAATATAGGATGGTGAAACACTCTAATATTACTCTAGAATATTACGAAAATTATTTTTATCTTTAAAAATTACATTCCATAATTATTTCATATAATAATAGTCATTGGATGGTTGATTTAGTTTTAAATATTCAACACCGACCGACAATTAAGTTAAATAATAATAATAATAATAATAATAATAATAATAATAATAATAATAAAATTACCAAAGCGCATAAAAATAGTGTAAGTCTTATTAATCAGTGGAGTCTGTAAATATTACGTGCTTGAAACAAATTAATTTGTATTTTCCTAATACAACATTTTGGACTATTCAAAAAACAAAATAATCAAATTAAAGTATCAACTAGTATTACTTCAGAATATAAAATTTAAGTTCTAATTTCTAACACATTTTATTATAAAAAAAATTGATTTTATATTTATTTTCCCGTTAAATTTATATTTAAACACATAATTTTATGTATTCGCTTATTAATGGTTTTATAGTAGAGAATGAGGTGGGAGGAGAGGAGATCAAGCTAATGGCTGTACGTGATCGCTTGCGCCACACCGTTGATAGTCTTCGATTTGAGCATATCGTTTTCGTACGTTTCCACTGTTTCTTTGTCAAGTTCAGAAATCCTGCAAAAAAATGTTTAGCTAATCAATTCAAAAACGTTCAGATAAAATTAGCTGAGTTAATGTTCATTTGTTAATCCATATACATACCTTTTGGTGGTAATTTTTTTCCCATTTGAGAACCGGGTTGATATTGTTGTCCTTTTCATACTACCACCGCCATTAACGGTATGACTAGAATATCCATTGTTTGCCATTGAGAACATATTATCAAATCCAGAACCAAAACCACCTCCAAAACCGCCAAATCCAAATGGATTCATCATTGAAGATATTTCTTGATGTCCATTGTTGAATCTTTGACCTGGACAAACAAACAATCATCAATGATGGTGTAAGACAATACATCACATTTTTAGGAATATTAAATCAATATCAAACATTATGAATTTACCAGGGAATAGAAGATCTGTAACATCTGACGTATTGAAAAATTCTTTGAACACATCTTCAGGATCTCTGAATGAAAAGCTAAAGAAACCAGGTCCAAAATCTTGGCCAAATGGATCATAGTGCCCTGGATGTCGTTGATTACTTCTGCGACGTCCACCATTTCCAGCACCACCGTTTATCAAACCATCTTTGCCATACTGGTTGTATGTCTTGCGTTTTTTATCTAACAAAATAAATCAATGAAATATAGTAACCGTTATAATCATAAAAATGTTAGTAGTAATGACAAAATATTATGTAAAAAATGATTATTCGCATTAAAAAAGCGCCACTTCTTATAGATTACATGCTCCAGCTCCAATAGTATTTTGAGGTTTAGTAAGGTTTAAAACTGGTACGGGTTACATATGAATGGCATATTAGATCAACACAACGTAAACTATAATTTAGGGATTCTACCGAAATAACGATGGAACGGGCTTTCAAAGAAGTTGTAGAAGAACGGTCTGGACGATGCGGACATTTTTCTTTTACGCTGTTCATCGTACAACTTTCGCTTTGCCTCTGTTAGACATATACACAATATATTTATATTTAAAGGCATAACCTATTTACTTCAACGAATATTATATACACATTATTGTCTAAAATCATTTGTGATTTACAATTTTTAAGTCTATTCATCATTATAGTTTTTTGTGAAACAATTAGCTTTTAAATATTAGCTGTTGAAAAAAATTATTTAAGTTAAGTTAAAGATATGTTCAGTTTTTTTTTAATGTTTCTTAAAAAGCTAATGACCTCATCATATATATTATATTACAGTGTAAATAAATATTAAATACATCATAACAATATATTTCTTATTAAATACCATCAGATAAAACTTCATAGGCTTCTGAAATTTCTTTAAACATTCGGTTTGCTTGTTCTTGATTTTCTGGATTTTTGTCGGGATGCCATTTCAATGCTAATTTTCTGTAACTGAAAAACAAAAGCGGGAAAAATGTTATTTACATACTATGTATTTTTACAGTTTATATAGAGAAGTGAACTGGGCATACGATTTTTTTATATCGTTAATCGAAGCGTTCGGAGTGACTTCCAGTATGGAATAATAATCTCCAGACATACTGTGTAATGTATTTTCTGGAACTTATGTAATGTCCTGGAAAAAAAAAGTTTTAGTTAATTTTGTCAAAAATATTCAAATCATTTATAAGTACAGTAGTAAGTACACTACTGATGTGGCAATATAGATTAGCGTATAGTAGTGCCACACACACACACACACACACACACACAATTGACCATTTTATTGTTGTGAAGTGATTTTATGGTGATACGGTCCGATACACAAAAAAAGTAATCATACTTGTTATTATATTGTATCTCCATGAACTCCCATGATAACGGTTTGTAAATTGTTTATTATAATAATGTACAACTAGTGAACGATATGCATTTTTATTAGATGCCTACAATAATAACATAATAATATTATGTTTGTATATTTAAACTAACTAAATAATTACAATAAAATATTAGTAAGCACAGCACAACAATATTGACCTTGAAAATCTTAGAAGTGAAAATTTTCAAAGCCACATTAAATTATTTATAGAGGTCTTCTTTTCCTTTTCCTGGTCATCATGCGGTATTAATAGTATACAGCGATGTACAACGACTTGAGTGAATTATGATTAACGAGAACCATTTGGATGAAAAGATTTGCCAACTGACCAGATGACAATATTATATGAGCCCGATATAAATTTAAAACAATTATATTATCTAGAAAGTTCACATAGTGATCTTAATAAATAAGTATTTAATAAAGACTTTAATCAAAATAACAATAACCAGTTTAAAACTGACGATTTTAATATATTTATAGATGTTTTTCTTTATTACTCTTTATTACTTTTTCAACTTACAAATCTAAACATAATCATATAAGATAGAAGTATATAAAGTACTAAGTACGCGACCTTTTTTATACATATAAGTATAACTAATAAAAAATATTTTGTTTGTACAATAATTTAATAGTGCATATAGGTAATAATAATAATACATTTAAATATATAATAATATTAATTAAGATATTTGTGAGTTGACTATGAAAATGGTTAAACATTGAAATTTAATGACAGTGGCTTTTGAAGTATAAAATCATTGAAATTAGGTATAAAATTGAACAAGTTATTTAAATAACTCTAACCTCAAGATGAATTACACTAACAAGAAATAAAAAGTATATCGCAACAGTAATATAAAATATTAATAAACTGTACCAAATCAGTATTAAATACACGGCGAACGAACGTTCGAAACATTTAAATTAAATATAAGTAGCGTAAATGTTTATAAACTCAAATATTATTGAAATGTGCAAAAGAAATATTTTTTGAACCCAATATTTTATATAGTACCGACCATATTAATATGGAAATCACCAAACATTATATAACATTAACAAAGCTAGAATTTGTAACACAATGTAATGTTTGTGTGCATTATTCATAAATGAATAATAGTCTTTCTCTTCTTTTGAGAAAATTAAACTAATGGATCGAAAGTCAAAACTCTTTCGTGTTCCTCAGTAATTCACTATACCCATCGGGGTATCGATTTCCAAGACATAATAATATAACATTAGGTATATTATTATGTAAAACTATTTAAACACGTAGAAATATGCTACATGGATAGAAAAAAATATTACACCTACGTTAAGTTTTGACGTCGAGGCGTTCTGCTTCTGCAATACAGTTATTGAACAGATGTTCATAAAACATTACTGTAAACTCTGTTGAGATATTTAAGCATATACTAGATGATAACAATGTAAATTCTGTAACAGTTACGTAGGGGTCCGAGTGTCTAACATTCTGAATCTAGGTGAATCATGAGATCATGACGTGACATAAATTACACGTAGAAGTACGGTTTATACAGTAAAACACAATAACCATCTGCTGACTAATAATCGGATCTGGGAAATTGGTTAACTATTACAACACAAACGAGTTCACGCAAGTCCGGATTAAGAACTCTATAAGTGTTCAGGGGACAATAATTGACTAAATAATAAAAGAATTAGGCCCCATCAATGGAGGAAAAAATACACCACTATCCTTGTCCAGTTGGTCAATGTTTGAATTAGCACATGGGTGTAACAATTACATAACTTTATAATTACCTACCAACAGATTATTCTTTAATTTTAGAATTACTAGAAATAATAATTAATATGATTATAGTCAGTTTGAAATATTTTTTAAATATAGATAAATTTAAAATACATTTTTTCAAAAAATGACGTAATTATTGGAAGTTTTATACCTAACGAAATTGTAGATATTTTTCTACTTTTTTCTACTTTTTTCTCGTACTTTTCGTATATTATTATCGATTCATAGTTATTAGTTTTAATTGTTATAGATATTTAAATACACTTATACGCATTTATGTGAACCTATTTGGCATAAACGGATTGAAAGAGGTGATTATCTATGCAACATAAAAAGGAATATTTATA